GCTCAAGAAAGCACATATACATGCCCGTCTGAAGTTTGCCAATGAACATCTGAATGATTCAGAGGAGAACTGGGTGAAAGTGTTGTGGTTAGATGAGACCAAAATGGAGCTCTTTGGCATCAACTCAACTCGCCGTGTTTGGAGGAGGAGGAATGCTGCCTATGACCCCAAGAACACCATCCCCACCGTCAAACATGGAGGTGGAAACATTATGCTTTGGGGGTGTTTCTCTGCTAAGGGGACAGGACAACTTCACCGCATCAAAGGGACGATGGACGGGGCCATGTACCGTCAAACCTTGGGTGAGAACCTCCTTCCCTCAGCCAGGGCATTGAAAATGGGTCGTGGATGGGTATTCCAGCATGACAATGACCCAAAACACACAGCCAAGGCAACAAAGGAGTGGCTCAAGAAGAAGCACATTAAGGTCCTGGAGTGGCCTAGCCAGTCTCCAGACCTTAATCCCATAGAAAATCAGTGGAGGGAGCTGAAGGTTCGAGTTGCCAAACGTCAGCCTCGAAACCTTAATGACTTGGAGAAGATGTGCAAAGAGGAGTGGGACAAAATCCCTCCTGAGATGTGTGTAAACCTGGTGGCCAACTACAAGAAACGTCTGACCTCTGTGATTGCCAACAAGGGTTTTGCCACCAAGTACTAAGTCATGTTTTGCAGAGGGGTCAAATACTTATTTCCCTCATTAAAATGCAAATCAATTTAACATTTTTGACATGTGTTTTTCTGGATTTTGTTGTTGTTATTCTGTCTCTCACTGTTCAAATAAACCTACCATTAAAATTATAGACTGATCATTTCTTTGTCAGTGGGCAAACCCACAAAATCAGCAGGGGATCAAATACTTTTTTCCCTCACTGTACTTATATATATATTTTTTTATCCAGTCGGATAAACACTCCAAAGAGCCTGCCCGACCACTTAGAGGCGTCCGCATGGTCCTAAAGCACACCATTGCCACGTTTTGTATCAAATTCCAATGATAAAACTGGGGGGGGGGACAAAAATGCTACTCCAGTGAAAGTTGCGCCCCTGATAAGCATAATACTGTTTTTGACACACACACTCTCTCTGACACAGTGCCAGTCACATAATCAGACATGGTTCTCCAGAGTACTTCCTTTTTTTTTTTTTGAAGCTTTCAAATCATCTTCAACACCTTTATTGGTTTCAGATAACAAATGATGTATTGGAATAAGGCAGAACAATTTGTCAGCCAGTCGGAAGAAAATAATGTGGGCCCTTAATATGTTTTGAGTCGGGAGAAGTGGACTCATCACAAATACTCAGAAGTCATGCAACAGTTGACTGAGGGCATTGTTCCATACTATATGGATGACACACAGGTGATGAGTGTTACAATAAAGATTTGTCCAATGTTTCCAGGTGGTGTTTGGAGAAACCCATAAAGGCAGTAGGAATGTTAGTGTGGAATTCAATCAAACGTCAAATCAGACACATGCCACCAAAGTGGGACTGGCAAGATATCAACTGTCAACTCCCTCCACTGAGACATGCTGCTGTGCAAATCAAATGCAGTTGTGAAAGATTGTATTTATTCTTTGATGGTGTTTATTATATGACCAGTACAGATTTTTTGAGAACTTTAACATCCTGGTCTTTCAAGTATTCTAAAATGAGTATTCTACCCTGCACATACTACAGTAAGCAACCACTCACATGCCTACTAAGTTGTATGGAAGGTAAAAGATTGTGAACACAGCCTCTGGCTCTTTCTTCCCTCTGCTCCCTACTTCCTTAAAGACATGCTCCGGAACTTTGGCCACTACTAAGTCTTTTTCAAACCTCCCGCTTTGGGCTGGATGTGTCAATGTATAGTTCATATATGCATAATTTATGATCAGAATTACTGTCTCAATTAGCCACTAAATCCCAAGTTTGAAAGAGACTATACATTTTCCCCCACGTGCGCCAACACACTTGCAATTAGCCAATGAGCTTCAGCCCTTCGCCATTTGAGTGACAGCTAAGATGCACACACAGTAGAGCGAGAGCAATGACAGGGTGCATATATCTGCACATATGGGACATAGTATGCAATTTTCGGGGACCACTTTGGACTTTCAGATCTACTGGCTAAAAAAGTATGCAGAAGTACAGGAGAATGTAACTGTTCCCCTCCAATGCGTCTCCATGCTTTCACTTCCTTCACGTGGCCCTGATTTCCTGTTCTAAAAAAACAGCCTGAGCAGCCACGACCTTATTATGTAAGTCTAAGGTCACGACTCACAAGACACAGGGGCAGCCCCAAAACAAAAACAGGCCATAACAAGCAAAATATCAATGTAGCCCCCGCATCAGTCTGAAAGATATCGACATTGGTCAGGCACCACCAAGAGTCAGTGTGTAGTTCGGACACTTTATTTGTCCTATCCTTTCAACTCTATAATATGAGGTTCAGAGATGGTAGAGGCTAGGCGGTCGTAGCCTGTGCTCTAGCTCCCCCTAGCTGCATTGCTGTGTATGAAGTGAGTCTAGTCTGTAAGGCCAGAATCCTAACTTTATATTTTTCTCTTGTCAAATCACACAAACAGCAAATGCGAAATTAATAAACTTGAATCTTTCAACTCAAACTTGTTTATTTCTGCTAAATCACAACGACAGATGGAAGTAGAGTTGTTGAAGGAAGAATGTTTGCAGTAACATTGACATCATCATGAAATAAAATACATATTTTCCTAAATGTTTTATTAGATTGGAGAACACATTGGGAGGGATCTTAGACCATTCCCCAATACAGAATCTTTCCAGATCCTTGACATTCTGTGCTGATCAAAGATCCACTACCATATTTTACAGTAGAGGATGGATAAACATTTACAGAATGGTTACCTGGAGAAAAACAGGGAAGGGTCATGCTTTTTCAATTTCAGTCAAGGTGAGGTTTATAAAAATAAAATAAAAAATCTAGTCCAGGGGAGGGTCATGTAATTCGTAATTGATGAAATTTCAATATTTCTCAGCGTTTTAGAATTAGTTGCTTAATAGGCTATATATATCTATATGTGCCCGATGCTGCCCCTCAACTCCGATTCTCTGCTGGGTGCGCAATATCAAGTGTGCCTATTTAGTGTGGTCTCAATCAAATGATCCATAGCCTATAGAATACAAAATGCATGCTCGGAGAAGCATAGAGCAAAGATATATTTCTAAAATGGCTGCTGGGATGGTTTAAATAAAACGAGGCTGCATTACACACTGCAGTGGATATTCTAACCCTGAGCCCCAGCCTGCTCTGCTCTTACTCATCCAAAACGTTAATGTGTGCTGCCTAATGAATGGCTGTGCTGTGTAGGACTACGGTGGCAGTTCAGGAGGAGAGTCAATGGCTTATTCCGATTTTTGTTTTTATCAGGCCTAGTCCAGAAAATGCACACTTCGGCACGGACTAGCCTATAGTCTGTTCTGTTCAGTTTGAAGACTAGTCTATAGTCTGTTCTGTTCAGTTTGAAGACTAGCCTATAGTCTGTGTTCTGTTCAGTTTGAAGACTAGCCTATAGTCTGTGTTCTATTCAGTTTGAAGACTAGCCTATAGTCTGTGTTCTGTTCAGTTTGAAGACTAGCCTATAGTCTGTGTTCTGTTCAGTTTGAAGACTAGCCTATAGTCTGTGTTCTGTTCAGTTTGAAGACTAGCCTATAGTCTGTGTTCTATTCAGTTTGAGAAGGAGAGCGCGAAGATGAGGAGGAGGACCGGAGGTCAACTTTGATAGCTTGCTACTACTATAATAAAATGTTATTAAAAACAATATGTTTCTTGCCCGTTAGGTATTTATCAGAGTTATTAACCTCACAATAAGCCAGATTCGAGTAACTTACATTGTGGTGCTGAAACTTGAAGCAGCAGCCATGGCACAATCAATCGGAAATAGACAGCTCATGGTGATGAAAGTAGGCAAATTCGAGTAGGAATAATTCATTTCAAGAGGGCTTTGTGTTGGAGCCTATTTCTTCCTATTTCTTTTTGAAGAAAATAAAAACGGATGTGATTATATAAAGTGATCTATAACAGTGCTTTAGTCCACAATGATTTATGCTAGAAACAAGCTGTAAGATATCCGGGAAAGAAGTAGCTCCGATGCATATGGGGATATCATTGTTTCATTTCTTTGACATTAAGAGGCTGAGCTACAACCTTCTATAGCCGAGGAGACAAAAAATAGAGTTTGCTTGGGAAGTCATCTAATTCTGTCACTATCAATTGATTAAGCTATTCACTTTCTGTACAATAGAAGATGTTTAATCCCAAACAGCGTTTAGAGAAACACTTGTGACCTTCTCTTGTTGGGTTAAGCCACGGAAGAAGAGTAGCCAGCAGTTAAAGCATAAAAAAATTTGCGTCGGTAGGTCTACTCTGTCTGGTGTGGAAAGGTAGGCCTAACTTTTGAAAGTACCATGCTCAGATTCCTAATGATGTTTCAGATTTAATTATTTGCAAACCGGGGACAGTTTAATTGCAAACAAGACACACAGATTTGGCATTGGAGAAATATGATATCCAACAAATGTAAATGCCTGGAGTTTTCTAAATGGCATTGGCACTTGGATTGGAACCGGTGCTATGGTCAAATGACATGAAAATAGAGCTCTTTGGCCACACACACCAGTGGTGGGTTCGGCGTCTGCATATGCAGAAAATAACCCCATACCTACTGTAAAATGTGGTTGTGGCACTTTGATGTTATGGGGCTATTTTCTTTCCACTGGTACTGGGGCCTTTGTTAAGGTCAACGGCATCATGGACTTTACCAAGTACCAGGACATTTTAGCCAAAAACCTGGTTGCCTCTGCCAGGAGGCTGAAACTTAGCTGCAAGTGGATCTTCCAGCAAGACAATAACCCCAAGCACACATCAAAATCCACAAAGAAATTGTTAATTGACCACAAAAATCAACAAGCCTCCAGACTTGAACCCCATTGAAAACATGTGGTTGGAATTGAAGAGGGCAGTCCATAAGCGCAGACAAATTATTTCAAGGATCTGGAAAGATTCTGTATGGAGGAATGGTCTAAGATCCCTACCAATGTGTTCTCCAATCTCATAAATAATTTGAGAAAAAGGCTCAGTGCCGTTATCCTTACAAGGGGAGAGTGTCGGAGTATTGAAAAGAGGGGTGCCAATAATTTTGACTCCCATCTTATTGAGAAAAACAAAATCTCTTTCTTTAAGCAGTTGTATTAGTATAAAATAATATACTTTTTTTTTAAATGTGGGAGCATACAATATAGCTCAGTAATTGTATTATTTATTTTATACAGTCTTTTTTGATAATCTTTATCAAGGGTGCCAATACATTTCGGTCAAGACTGTATGTGTTTGTAGTCACTCACTCATCCCTGTCAATCCGGCTGGTGCGTGTGTGTAGTAGTGTAATCTTTCAAGTTTATCTTCACTTCTCTGTTCTGCTCCGACCAATCAGTACTCTTCATCCACTGTCTCTGTTTTTGATTGGGTCAGGCTTGTCGTCTGAGGGAAACAAATCCATATTGAGGATTTTGAGGCAGACCAATCAGTGCACTCTCACATGATCAACATTTGACTGTTTATCTAACCGTTAACCTATAACGTCTCACCTTGTCGACCATTTCCTGCATCTTGTGGATGAGGGCGAACATGTGACCAGCGTCCTCCTTCAGCTTCTTCTCATAGGATGAGCTTCGAAGCTCCGCCTTCTCCAGCCTGCTGCCAAGACCCTCCTCCTGGCCCTGAGTGACAGCCGCAGCATCCACTGAGAAAGAATAAGCGAGGGACGGTGAAGAAAGATGAACAGAGAGAGGGGGTAGAGGCAGAAAATAGGGTTAGCCATCTAAGTCTATGAAATTAACAAGATATATAATAAGAGTCTAACATGTGTACGTGTGTGAGAGAGAGAAAAAAAAATTAGAGAAATGTGTGTGTAGTACCCAGTGCGTCCTGTAGGGTGGCGATGCGTAGCTCCAGGGCGTTCCGTGTTCTGTCTGCTGCTTCCAGGGCCTGTAGCAGGCTGGGGATGTTGACCACACTGCCCCTGTAGGAGACCACCTCAGCCCCCACGGCTGCAGTTGGCCCCCTGGACCCCCCAGACTTCCGGCCAGATGCCTTCTCCTTCTTTGGAGCTCCACGAAACAACCCACGGTTACCTGAACACACAGAGACTTAACGTGAGTGTGTGCGTGTGTGTCGGTCCTCACCCATTGGGGACACATAGATAACACTCAGAAAAATACTGAACGTGTGTGTGTGTGTCCAACCTTCCATGCTGATGTCTGGTTCTGTGTGTTCCGTCTCCTCCCAGCGAGAGGCTAGCATCCTGTATGGACATTGTCCCTCCACACACACCTTATTCAACACCACCTGGACTTGGGTGGGTGTGAGCCACAGCCCTAGTGACAGTAAGATGTTGTGAAGGTCTGCTTGTCTGAGGCTGCCAGTGAGCCGTCTGTCAAAGAACACACAGGCCAACAACACCCTACGAGACAGCACCTAGAGAGAGGGAGGAAGAGAGAGCAAGAGGGAGATTGAGAGAGGTAGTTAGAAAGGGGAGAGATATGAGAAACTATGAAGCATAGCAGTGGGAATATGTTTAAGGGGGAGGGGGGTAAAAAAGAATCCCTTTATAATAAAGCATTGCATGCATCTATAATTTTTTTGGGCCTTTTATAAATGCATTTCATGCAATTCTACGTCATTTACATGACAGAAGACACTGACAAACTGAGATCAATAAAAACATTGAATGCAAACAATAGCCCAGGCCAATGAAAAGACACAGATTGTACAATATTTAGAAGGAGATATATATATATATATATATTTATTATAGGCTAAAGGACTACTAAATAACCTTTCCAGTGGCACTGAAGATGAAGGCTACTCACTGGGGATAAGCTACTTTGAAAAACAGTGCTGTTCACTCAAAATTCGGAGTTGAGAAATAATGTTTTAGCTTCTACAGACAGATTAGTCTTCTCTTTTCAGCAGTAGACATTTGCATTCCAAACTGTACGTTTTTCCCGTGATTGTATTTTTTTAAATATGCGAAAGGCAAAACTGACAGCCGCAACCAAGCTTAGAAATATAATCCATAGATGGCAGTTCCCATTCAAGTCAGTACAGGCAGCCATTGCTAGTGTACCCATGAGTTTAATAGTCAAATTGCCAGGGTTAGAAGTTCCAAACCCTTCTATGGATGATATGTCTATGGCCACAAAGCAACAAGCGGTTGTATATTTGGCTCACGTGCTGCCCACATTGCAGCCCTTCTGACTCTACACAGAGTATACAAAACATTTAGAACACCTTCTCAATCCATGACATAGACTGACCAGGTGAAATAATAATAATATGCCATTTAGCAGACGCTTTTATCCAAAGCAACTTACAGTCATGCGTGCATACATTTTTACGTATGGGTGGTCCTGGGGATTGAACCCACTAGCCTGGCGTTACAAACGCCATGCTCTACCAATTGAGCTACAGAGGAAATCCATGATCCCTTATTGATGCCTTGTTAAATCCACTTCAAATCAGTGTAGATGAAGGGGAGGAGACAGGTTAAAGAAGGATTTTAAAACCTTGAGACAATTGAGACATGGATTGTGTATGTGTGCCATTCAGAGGGTGAATGGACAAGACAAAAAATGGAAGTGCCTTTGAATGGGGTATGGTAGTAGGTTTCAGGCGCACCGGTTTGTGTCAAGAACTGCGACGTTGCTGGGTTTTTCACGCTCAACAGTTTCCCGTGTGTATCAAGAATGGTCCACCACCCAAATGACACCCAGCCAACTTGACACAACTGTGGGAAGCATTGGAGTCAACATGGGCCAGCATTCCTGTGGAATGCTTTCGACACCTTGTAGAGTCCATGCCCTGACGAATTGAGGCTGTTGTGAGGGCAAAAGGGGGGGTGCAACTCAATATTAGGAAGGTGTTCCTAATGTTTGGTATACTCAGTGTATGTGCTTGTGATCAAACTTAAATCCACAGCTATTTTTTTTAGACGCTATTGATCCTCTGTGGCTAAATGCTCCTGGTGTAGTATTTTGAATGCTTTTATGTATGTCTGTTCAGACAGGAGTAATATCATTTTTGGCAAAGTTATTTCAATTTATCTGAGGGTGCTGCATCCCCTCCAACACCCCTACTTCCCACAGCTATTCTATGAAGTATAGTAGCTTTCTTTCTTGAGGGACCCTAGTATTTACAGTGTATGTAGGTCTTACATTGTGCTTTAAGAGGGAGTCTGAATTCTCACAAGTAATTCCCTCCTCTCCCAACATTTCTGGAAAAAAATAAGGAAAAAAGAAAGCAATTTTAGTACACAGCTTCTGGCATTTAACTTCCCCCAACCCAGTCTTTTCAGATCTTCATACCTCTTTCTCGTTCTACCTCTCCTTCTGTTTCTTTCTCATCTATCTCTTCTCCATCGTCATCAGTCTCCTCCTTATCCTCCGCTGCTCTCCCTCGGCTCTCTCCTCTTTCCTGAAATCTTTTACTCCTCTCATCCCGCATTCTCTGCTTTTTGTCGTGCTTTATCTGTTCATCCTCCTGAAAAAGAGATTGGAGGAGAAAGTAAGCAGGACTAAATCAGGTGTAGAGAAGAAAAAACTGGTAACATGTTTATTTGTGTGTGTGTACCATGGGTGTGTGTGTGTTTGTGTGTGTGTACCGTGTGTGTGTGTGTACCATGGGTGTGTGTGTGTGTTTGTGTGTGTGTACCGTGTGTGTGTGTGTGTGTACCATGGGTGTGTGTGTGTGTTTGTGTGTGTGTACCATGGGTGTGTGTGTGTGTTTGTGTGTGTGTACCGTGTGTGTGTGTGTGTGTGTGTGTGTGTACCATGGGTGTGTGTGTGTGTTTGTGTGTGTGTACCGTGTGTGTGTACCATGGGTGTGTGTGTGTGTGTACCGTGTGTACCATGGGTGTGTGTGTAGGCGTTAGAGAGCAGAGACAGCGGTAGAGCAGCAGACCAAAGTCCCTCTGAAGCATCTCACAAAACAACTCTGCCAGCAAGCCCACCTAGAGAGAGAGAGGTCCGTATAATAATTTACGTTGTATCATGACAACTAACCTACTCCAAAGCAGATTAGTACAGTATATCTCAGTGTAACGCAGTGTGGGCTAGGGGAGTACTTTACCTCAAAGGCCTCCTTGGTTGTGGAGGTGTGGGGCTCCAGGAGAGAGGAGAGGGGGACGGGGCAGAGGGCTAGCCCAGGACGAGGCCTTGCAACCAGGCAGGGAGCAGCAGGGAGAGGGGCCCCTTCCTCCTGATAGACAAAGAGACCGGAGACACAAACACGCACAAGGCAGCTTTAAAATGGCAGTGAGTTGTGACTTGCCTGATGACTCATACTGAATGTAATTCCGCTACATACATTCAGACTGCCATCCTAGAAGTCGTTTGTGGTGACGTCAAAGTGAGGGCCATTGTACAAAACAAGTAATCAGAGATTAGATCGTCTCTAACCAATCAGAGTATCAAAGCCAATGACTATTTCCGAAACGCTGCTTTACCCACGTGTGTTCAAGGTCTGTCCCAACCCATCGGTTTCTGGGACCAATCAGAATGGTTTGAATCTGTTCGCATTGGAGAAGTCGTCGGGGAGGAGATCAAATCCAGACTCATCGTGGAGAAGAAACATTAGTGGGCGTGGCGTTTAGCCGGAGCCATGTGGATGGGTAGCCAGGTAAAGATGTGACTACTACAGGAAATGTATCCAACTCTCTCTCTCACACACACTCACCTCCTGAGTCCTGAGTGTGCTCCAGTCCTCCTCTGTAGGTACGATCCGCCAGACATCAGGTAACAGAAACACCACTGTCTCCACCTTCCCCTCACAAACATAGCTCAGCTCAGCCATCTTATACCTGAGAGAGAGAGAGAGAGAGAGAGAGAGAGTTGTTCATTCCATTGTAAATGGAGTGCCACACACAGAGCTGAAAAGGGAAAACCAAAACAAGCATTTGACTGGCTGGTGTACTACCTGTGTATATGTGTAAGAGTCAAAAGAGTGTGTGAGCATAAAGATGTGCTTGTGTGATGTGCGTGTGTGACCGTGAACATGCAAGTGTGTGTACTGACCACTGGGAGCAGCCGCTGAGGTCCAGTCCACTCTGTTCCCTCACACAGCGCAGGGCTGTCCTCAGCAGTGCCCGAGGGTCCTTCAGCGGACTGGGACCGCCACCATCTGTCTCAAGACACCACGGACCCCCCAGGGCCCGAAACTCACCCCCTACCTCCCCCAACAGGAACTGACAGAGAGGGGAGAGCGAGAGAGAGATGATGTACTTAGTATGTAATTATGATTTGACCAAAGTTGAGGTGAATAGTGGGCTGTACCCAGTCACAACGTAACCGTCCTCACCTTGATGAGAGAGGCAGGGTGCACAGCACCACCCTGCTGTTCTTTCTGGTCCTGCAGCCCACAGCACCGTCTGTACAGTTCCTCTGAACTGGCCATGGACAGCAGCAGCACCTGTGTGACACACACACACACCATCCAGTAGGCAAACAAGACACACAGGTGGTGAATGGGAAAGTGAGAGTCAGAGTGTGTGTTTGGTGTGCTTTACCTTTACAGTGTACTCCGCGCCCTCTCTCTCGATGTGTGTGTGTTGGTCGGGCTCGGCGGGGCCTATGTGGTAAAGGCAGGGCTGTGGGAGGGGGAAGGGGAGGGGCTGGGAGGAGGGAAAGCTGTCAATCCAACTGATTGACAGGTGGCAGACAGATGGGGGGAGGGGGAGGTGGGGGTAGCGACGCTGTAGCTCTAGACTGTCACAGGACACACTGGGGGAGACGGCAGGGAGACAAAGGGGTGGAGATTAATTGATTACCAGAGTTACAGATTCTTTGATTGACTGATTGGATAAATGAATAAATGACAAGTGGACTCACCAATCCCTGGGGAAGCAGGAGAAGAGGGCGGGACTTTGAGGTGGGGTAGGGGAGGTCTTTTTGTGGTGAGCTCCCTTCTCCTCCTCCTCCTTCCACCTCCTCCTCTTCTGGTCACAACCCCTCACTCCACTGTCCTCCCTGAGACACACACAGCATAATATTGCAGACAATCGATTTTCCTCTGATGTGAACAAAGAGACAAAACACACACACTGCACACACACATACTGCACACACACACATACAGACAAACTCACCGGCGGTCTCGTCTCCCTGCCTCAGCAGGTCTCTTCCTGATGCCTCTGCCCCAGCCCTCAAACTGCCCCCCCCATGATGGAGTCTGCAGCAACCCCGCTGAGAGCGAGAGAGTATAAATAAATCAATAAACACTATTCCCTATATAGTTCACATCTTCTGTGGATGAAAATGGCCTTTCTGTGACCCTAGGACCTTGGTGGATTAAAAGGCCCTCGGTGGCCAAACTAGTGCACTATATGGAGAGAAGGGTGTGATTTGGGACAGGTTCACTCACGTTTGGCCACAGTGTGAAGGATGCTGGGGATGAGAGGAGGGATCTTGGGAGATTTGAGGAGAGGCTGCGGCTTGCTACCCAGAATGCCCGGTTTCTGTCCGTGTGCAGGCATCATGGAGGGCAGGAGAGGACGAGGAAACTTTGACGTCTGAGAAGAGATGAGGAAGAAAGAGGATAAAGAGTTGACCTTTCCTTTTTTATCTTTGTCTCTCTATTCAGCCCTCTTGTCTGACACACTATTAGTTAACATAACAACAAATCAACCACTCAGGTGAAATATGAAATTCTATAATATCACTGCCTGGTCCTCCTACAGTAATCTACATTACCTACAGATACTCTACCTGTGGGTATTCTGTGAGGGTCTGTACTCTACCTGTGTGTGTTCTGTGAGGGTCTGTACTCTCTGGGCGCTCCAGCTGTGGGATTGAGACAGATCCAGGACAGCCTTCACCAGCACCCTCTCCCCCAGCGCCGGAACTCTCCCCTTCACCACACTGACACACACAGAGTTAACAACACAGCACTCAGGGTTAACACAGTACACACAGGGTTAACACAGCACACAAAGGGTTTACACCCCGTTGAATGACCTCATAGAATTGAATAATTTAGTAAATTAAGACTGTGTTATTTTAGCTATATTGCTTATACCAATCCAAGCATCTCAAATCTACATGTGTATAATAGGGGGTTAGGGGTCCATTTGAGATTGGGGCATAACAACTGGAACTTGCTATTAGTCCTTTGTACCTCTTCTGAAAACGCACTTCCTGGTCCACCATCCCATAATGCTCCTGGAGATGGGTCACGACCCCAGTGAAGACACGCTGCTTCATCTGAGAGCGAACACACACACACACATCATTATAGACGCATTACACACACACACAAACAGACACACAGGGTGAGCAATAAAGGTTGTCTTACTTGGCTATCCATGTATCTGCTCAGTATCACTCCTTAGCTGGATCAGTCTGGACCTACTTCTTTCTGGAACAGACCTGACACACGACCATAGAAATAGAATCCTCATTCTAGTTCTGTTTGCACATGACAACCACCCAATTAGCCCACTTCTGATTCTCCCCCTTTCTCTCTGAAGATCACTTGCCCTATAACCACTGGGTCACTAGTTCAAACTTCACTTGAGCTGTTCCCCCTCAATCTCTACATTGAGATAACAGATCTACAGCATGCATGTAGTATCTGCCTACCTATCCATGCTCACGAATATGTAATGTTGCTGAGATGAAGCAAAAGCCCATAAATGGCTAGACTTCTTGCTTGGTTGGCAGGAAAGCTGCAAGAGAGTCTTTAGCCCAGACCTTTTATGGTGTGAAGTACCTACTAAAGCCCAAAAAATACTCCTCTTATAATCAACTGGACCCAATGTTCAGATCAATAGAAAGAGTAAAAATAATAATTATATTGAACCCCGATGGATGACACTATGGTGAATAGCCTAGCTAGTTATCTAGCTTAAACACATGGCAAATACTTAACGCTGTAAGATCTGTGCATAATTGTTTTAAGCAAAACAGCCTGGGATAGCTAGCTAGCTCACTAGATGAATGAACACATTCACCTAACGTTGATGATCCTGGCTACTACAACAAATGTTAGCTAGCTACAGTACTGGTAGCTAGAATTGAGATTATTTGTAATTACGACCACCAAACGGTCACTTTGGACACATACAGGTAGCTAGCTAGTTAAGCTACAGTTAGCTAGCTAGCTAGCTAGCTATACGTTTGTAATTATGAATTCGATTTCGAAAAAGGAGCAAATTAGGTAGCTAGCTAACTTGCTAGTAACAGTACTCACTCTCACAAACCTTCCTTGCAATCCTCTTCTGGCAAAACGTTACTGCTTTTGTTTGTTTTGAAGTGGAGCAGTCGCTACATGGCCATGGGGTGTAATAATTACGCAGATTCTGTTGCGGGAAAGGTTCTTAAACGGAAGAAAACGTAACGAAACCGGGAGGCAACTACGGCTAATGATTAGAACACTGATGTGACGAGCCAGAGAGGAAGAGGCGAAGCGAGGGACAACTAGGCCAAACATCAATCTTCTCCAGCAGGTGGTGTTGTTTCGTTTATTTCGCTCACCAAGCGATGAATTCTTGTATGGACGTCAATGAGAGTGTCGAATTTGGTCAACAAAAAATGTAATGGCTTATTTGCTACGTGTGGCTTATTTGATCGAATACAAGTTTCGTAATGCTTAGGTTGTTACAAGTGTACTGATAGAAGTAGGACACGTGACATCCCGGCAACTTTCAGAAAAATACTTAAATCATTGGGGAAAACACTTTTTATCGGAGTTGTGGCTGTTATCACACGCGAATCTGCCCTCTCATTGGCTAGAATTGTCCCACCTGATCTTGCCTCCTCCCGACTGCCATCCATTTTTGAAGACATTTATTTTCAACGTTAGAGCGGCCAGTTGAATATCTGGCCAATATAATGGATAATCTGTGGTTGACTACATTAAAATGGCGCTGCCCATGCTAAAACGGCCTTTTGGGCCATAGAGGCCTCTATCATCAAATACTTGTTATAACTAACCCATTGTTCTACCGGTGCTATTATTGGGCTTGTTCGACAGTGCAGGCGACTGCCTACTGACGGATCTACAAAGAACCTTGCATCATAAATAACTACCCATTATAATTTGTAGGTCAGTCAAGAGTAATAAATTACCCATGATACATTACGGTTTTGATCCTCTCGAACACGGCCCTCCTCTACGAACATTTTCTAAGCGTCACTGTGTTCACGTGATGAATTACGTTCATTCAAGCGATTACACACGCGTGAGAGTACCAGGCACCAATTTTGACTTTGTGTTCTGGACTGATGTACAACTATATCTTGACAACAAAATGCATACAACCATTGAAATATCTAAGTTTGACATATTATTTTACTACACTGATTCCACAGTTGAACGTCAGTATGTCATAAATCTCTTTATTATGAAAATATTTCATACACAAATAAAAATGTATGAAGAAAAAGCACATTTTCTATTTATTTTTAATCAGATTTGGAAAACTATTTAGCACTATTAAAACGTATACAAAACAAAATGTCAAAAAAATGTAATCTTTACATGTCTGTATTTGATTTGATATAATGTTGATTTGTGTTATGATTTTATATATATAATATTTTCTCATTTTCTGTGTAATCCCTCTGGCTGTTCTTTTTGTGTTTTACAGCCCGCCGCGACCGGGAGACTCATGGGCGGCGCACAATTGGCCCAGCGTCGTCCAGGGTAGGGGAGGGAATGGCCGGCAGGGATGTAGTTCAATTGATAGAGCATGGCGTTTGCAACGCCAGGGTTGTGGGTTCGATTCCCACGGGGGGCCAGTATAAAAAAATATGTATTCACTAACTGTAAGTCGCTCTGGATAAGAGCGTCTGCTAAATGACTAAAATGTAAAAAAAAATGGTTAAATTAAAAAAACTACTTTGTGGAACTAGTCAGGCACTAGAGACAAGAGATGGTTACCGATAGGCTACAGTTCCATGAAATGGGCTTAGATGATCGCCTTTTAAAGGTAGATGTTCTTCTCTCCGGTGAAAATATGAGGAGAAATGAAGTGTTAAATCGCATGACCTCAATTGTGATATCAAACGGTTACAGAAGCATACATCAGTAGACACTGAATGCAGCTAAGATCTCTAACCTAGCTAGCCAACATTAGCTATTTAACTAGCATGTGAACGTGTTTACTTTGCCTGTCAATCGGCCTGAATTTCAACTAATTTACATATTCAAGAGTAAATGGAATTAACCATGTTATGCCTAGTATGTAGCTAGCTAGATGTTATTTAAACAATCACCTCTGCTACAGGAAATTCAAGAAGTCATGCAGAAAGCAGAATCCTTCAGAAATAAACGAATGAGATGCAATACTCAGCCTTTTGTGTTCATTTCATTGCCTAGTTAGTTAACTAACTAGCTGGCGGACTTTGACTGGGCTCAGCCCACTCTGATCCAGGATAAAGCTATCCCTCTGGCTCTGGAGGGCAAGGACAGCCAGCTGGAGTCAAATCTAACTGACAGAACAGCCAGCTGGAGTCTTGCAAAAGTCTTCACCCCCTTGGCATTTTCCCTATTTTGTTGCAACCTGGAATTAAAATGGATTTTTTTTTTGGGGGGGGGGGGGGGGGGGGGTTGTATCATTTGATTTACACAACATGCCTACCACTTTGAAGATGCAAAATATTTTTTGTGAAACAAACAAGAAATAAGACAAAACAGACCTTGAGCGTGCATAACTAGTGTTTTCCTTGATGGCCAAAAAGCTCAATTTTAGTCAGAGTACCTTCTTCCATATGTTTGGGGAGTCTCCCACATGCCTGTGTTTGCTTATTTTTTTCTTTTAAGCAATGGCTTTTCTTTCTCTGGCCACTCTTCCGTAAAGCCCAGCTCTGTGGAGTGTACGGCTTAAAGCGGTCCAATGGACAGATACTCCAATCTCCGCTGTGGAGTTTTGCAGCTCCTTCAGGGTTATCTTTGGTCTCTTTGTTGCCTCGCTGATTAATGCCCTCCTTGCCTGGTCCGTGGGTTTTGGTGGGCGGCCCTCTCTTGGCAGGTTTGTTGTGGTGCCATATTCTTTGAATTTTTTAATAATGGATGTAATGGTGCTCCGTGGGATGTTCAAAGTTTCAGATATTTTTTTATAACCCAACCCTGATCTGTACTTCTCCACAACTTTGTCCCTGACCTGTTTGGAGAGCTCCTTGGTCTTCATGGTGCCCCTTGCTTAGTGGTGTTGCAGACTCTGGGGCCTATATATATACTGAGATCATGTGACAGATCATGTGACACTTAGATTGCACACAGGTGGACTTTATTTAACTAATTATGTGACTTCTGAAGGTAATTGGTTGCACCAGATCTTATTTAGGGGCTTCATAGCAAAGGGGTTGAATACATATGCACGCAACACTTTTCCGTTATTCATTTTTTAGAATTTTTTGAAACAAGTTATTTTTGGGGGGGGACTATTTTGTGTATGTCCATTACATGAAATCCAAATAAAATTTCATTTAAATTACAGGTTGTAATGCAACAAAATAGGAAAAACGCCAAGCTGGAGTCAAATCTAACTGACAGAACAGCCAACTAGAGTCAAATCTAACTGACAGAACAGCCAGCTGGAGTCAAATCTAACTGACAGAACAGCCAGCTGGAGTCAAATCTAACTGACAGAACAACCAGCTGGAGTCAAATCTAACTGACAGAACAGCCAGCTGGAGTCAAATCTAACTGACAGAACAGCCAGCTGGAGTCAAATCTAACTGACAGAACAACCAGCTGGAGTCAAATCTAACTGACAGTGACAGAACAGCCAGCTGGAGTCAAATCTAACTGACAGAACAGCCAGCTGGAGTCAAATCTATGTCATCAACTTTGACTTCCCCACCACCGTTGATTCCTACATCCACCGCGTCGGATGGTCAGTGTCACCACAACAGAATACAACTTTATTGTTCACGTAGAGATGGAAACAAGCTGCAACTCTGAAATAACACACAAAGGCTACGTCTCAAATCGCACCCTATTCCTCCTGTAGTGCACTATATTTGAGCAGAGCTCTAGAAGAGGGTGGTATTGGATAAAGCTAAGCAATTCAGCCTCGCTCTCCTTCTTCTGTAGAACCGTGCGAGCAGACAACCCAGGCACAGCGCTCACCTTCATCTCACACACAGAGCTCCCCCTGCTGGCCGAGGTGGAGGACACACTCACAGGAGGTACGGACAGGCACTGTTTGTGTTTCTATCTGATGTGTGTTTATAACTGATCTAGTGTCTCTCTGTGTGGAACTAATTGATGTAGACTGTATGTTTAACTGACCTAGCGTCTCTGTGTGGATCTAATTGATGTAGACTGTGACTGAGCTAGCGTCTCTGAGTGGATCTAATTGATGTAGACTGTATGTCCCCCCTTCCTCCCCCCCTCCTTCCTCCCCGCCGCCCTCCCTCCTTCCCGCCTTCCTTCCTTCCTTCCTTCCTTCCTTCCTTCCGCCGCCCTCCCTCCTTCCTCCCGCCGCCCGCCCTCCTTCCATCCCCCCAGCCGCCCTCCTCCTTCCATCCCCCCACACCCTCCCTCCCTATGCCCCCCTCCATCCCCACCCGCACCCCCGCCCAACGACCCTCCTTTCAACCCCCCACCGCCCCCCACTCTCCTTCATCAAGGATCCCCATCCCCCCCCTCCCGCTTCAACCCCGCGCCCTCCCTCACACACCCCCGCACCAACGCAAACTTGGCCCTCCCTCCATCCACCCCCCCCAACCTCCACCCCATCCCCCGCCCTCATAATTCATCCACAACACACGCCTCCATCCTTCCTTCATCCCCCCCCCCCCCCCCTCTGCCTCCTCTTCCTTTCATCCCCCCCCGCCCCCTCCCCTCCCTCCCTCCTTCTTTCCACTCCCCTCCCCCTCCTCCCTCCTCCTTTCCTCTCAACCCCCGCCCCTCCCTCCCCCTCCTTCCATTCCCCCCTCCCTCCTTCCATCCCCCCCTCCCCCCTCTGAAATTCAGATACATATAACCACCACAAATCATGACATGGTTCAAATAATTTTGATTATGATTGCAAGCCCATATCTTGTTTCACATTTAATACAATGTACACATGGTTACATTTAAGAGTGATAAGAAAAGTTTGAACGATAAAACAGAAGGATATTGGAGTCAAAAGGGCATGCTACACACCTATGGTAGGTATGCTGCTTAACCTGAATAAACAGAATGTATGCAGGTCTGAGGGTTTTAAATCAAGTAAATAAACAATTGTCAAATAATGGCTAGAATAATATTAGATGAAGCGGAATGAAGGTTTAGTTTAGAACATTTGGCACATACAGTGAGGCTGTGGTCTGGTTCCCTTCCCTTCTCCCTGGAGTGTACACTGATGTATGGGCATACTTTGGGAGTTCCTTATAGTCCAAGGGCCTGATAATAACCGTATGTCCATCATCCATTATCTGTGGTGGATGAAAAATATCAACAGCATCTCAGACCATTTACCAGCATTTGTCTGGTGGCTTGGACTCATTTCAGATGTGGAGTGAACAAGGAGATGGGTAGAGAATCGGTTCCCAGGCAATGCTGGAGAGAGAAGGCACGTTGCAAGGCCTGCTGGATTGCTGATGCTATGTATTAGCCATTGAGAGGCTTTGAAGCCACCGGTCGGCCATATTGTTACTCCCCAGTAGGAGCAGTCCTCCATAGGAATGAATGGAATTCTACAGTATTTCAATTAAATGTTTCAAGGACAAAATTACATGTCTTTTTTTTTGTAATGGGGACAGTAACAGTCCGTTTTATGTTTAGCTCACATAATATAATTTGAAAGTATGCATTAAGGTGTCTGTAATAGAATACATGTGGCAAATGTAGACATTAATAAATGCATTTCTATCGCTTCCCAAATATATATTTTGCAATAGTGGGGGAGTGCCAAGACGGAGGCACGGTGCCTTCAAAACAGCGGCCCCTATCAGTCATCTAGTGTATATATAAATCGTTGGTCGCTACGCGTCAGCAGTTTTTTAGGAACTCAGTCGGGGTCTCAACTTACTGTTGCAACTTAGAGTTAGAATACAAAAGGTGCAATTTAGAAATGTGGTTATGCATCACCATTTTCTCGTTATGTCAGTCACTCAATTAGCCATGTCAGCTAACAATTTTTAGATTGGTAATTCAGTCTAGCCAGCTATCTAAACTTGTAGTAATCATGGCCGAATACCAACAGGGCATGTGCCCAGGGGCCCTGACCTCCTGGGGGACCCCATTGATTTTGTTAGTTACTCTCACTCAGATACCATATTAACATGACGTAAGTCATGGCAAAATGAGTAGAATTGCAGGAAATTTTCTTTATAACCGAACAAAACGTCTATGTGTTTTTCTCCGGCATCAATAGGGGGGCCACTAAAATGTTTTGCCCATGAGATGGGAGCCCCCCCCCCCCCCCAGCAAAACCTTGCTTAGGTTTTCATGAGCTTGGGTCCCAGGAAAACACTGACTTTCTCATTTAGGTTCCAAGCTGAAAAAGTTGAAGAACCCCTGCTTTGCTTTACTGTACACACACACACACACACACACAATACAGAGAACACACACATCAATCAAACACCTTTGATGCACAATGTTCAGTTCTCACACACACAAACAATTAAATGTACTTTTACACAACTAGGAATGTTTAGAATTCACTCACCATATTCAGGAAACAGCACTTAGGCCTAATCAACTGCAAAAAGGCTCCAACAACTATCACCTGATAAACTTCATCACACAATCATTTCGCCAGTACGCTCACACACACACGCAGAGTAATAAGTATAATATGAAGGCTGATAATCATGGCACATCCAGGGGGTGAGGAGATCGAGAGGGGTCCAGCAACATCACATGACCTCACAGCAAGAGTTCTGCTTCCGCGCCTGGGGAGAACACACACAGTATTAGATTGCTCATGTAATCATACTGTACGTCCTCTCATGAATTCCTGTGTGTGTGTGTGTGTGTTCCAATGTGTTTCTCACTGTCTTGTAGAAGGCTTTAGACTGGTTCCCCAGGTGTTCAGACTTCTGGACCAGATCATCCAGCTTCTCTCCTCTCTCCAACAGACTTTCCATAGTGTTGTGCTGCAGAGGAGATGAGGTGGAGGACTCGTTAAAAAGGGATAGATTGACAAAATTGACATGTTCACTACACCATTGGTAAACAACTTATTGTTATTGACATGACAAATGGTGGGTAGAAGTGGAACACATGGCTTGCTGAGCCGTGAGGCTGCTGTTTTTTCTTGGTGCCATGAATCTTTTGTTTCTTTTTCTTCTCACATTTATGCACAAATTCATTCAGATTACAGAACCATTAGGCAAGCCTAGGACCCCTAGACTTAGCAAGTACAGTGTTAACAGTAGGTTGCCTAATCAGTTTCGTAACAAGACTGCATCATAGCTTATTAGCTAAATAACAGTGTAGCCACATGATGGGTTTTGGTTGAAACCTGTGCCTAAGTTGAAGACAAAAAAGTGGTGTGCCACAATCGGAAACAGGAATGGGGTGGATAAGGCATGCAGATTGTGGGAAATATTGCCCCATGCGAGATGTTTGTAGCAGAGAAACCACTGTAATACCAAACTCTGTGGTAATACGAACCGCTCAACTTTGAACTCCACTCAAAATGACCAAACTACAGCTGTTGAATGTGTATCTTACTGAACGACTAACAGCGGCTGCTGCGGAGATATCCGAGGCCGTGGAAAAAACGTTAGTAAAGTACCAGGAAGAAATGTCAGTTCCAAAGAGGAGAATGGCCGTCTACAGAGGCTACTAGATTTGGTTTTCAAACCAGAGATAAAGTTACAGAGCAGGTTTGTATCAACTAGCTAGATATCACATAAATCAGATGATAAATTGACAGGGTTGGGTAGATTACTTTCTAAATTTAATCCGTTAGAGTTAAATTACAATTCCAAAACTAGTTTACCTAAACCCAGTAACGTAATCTGGTTACTTTTAGATTACTTTCCCCTAAAGATGCATTAGAAGAAGACAAAAATGAATATTACCAATTGACCGACATCTATTGCCAGATAAATCAATGTTCGAGTTCACATTGCTGGCCATAAATGGATGTTGCAATTTACTTTCTGGGTTGTGCTCAGCCCCCTCCTGTACTTCCTGTTTGCTGATGACACAACAGTGGTAGGCCTGATAACCAACAATGACGAGACAGCCTACAGGCCCTGGTGGAGTGGTGCCGGGGAAATAACCTCAACGTCAACTAAACGAAAACTGCTGATCATGAACTACAGGAGACAGCAGAGAGAGCACGCCCCCATCCACATCGACAGGGCCGCAGTGGAGAGGGTCAAAAGCTTCAAGTTCCTTGGCATGCACATCACCAAGGACCTGAAATGATCCCACCACACTGACACCGTGGGGAAGAAGGCGCAACAGCGCCTCTTCAAACTCAGGAGGCTGAAGAAATTCAGCATTGCCCTGTTTTACCCACTTTATAGTTACAGTGCCTTGCAAAAGTATTCAGACCCCTTGGAATTCTTCACATTTTATGGTGTGTTACAAAGTTGGGTTACAATAGATTTCATTGTCATAGTTTTTTGTCAACAATCTACACAAAATACTCTTTAATGTCAAAGTGGAAGTTAAAAAAAATATTTTTAAAGATAAATAAGAAATGCCCAACTAAAATAGTAGTTGCATTAGTATTCAGCCCCTTTAGTTCAGGAGTGGACACATTTACACATAAGTTTGTGAACAGCCATCCACAACAACCACATTCCATAAGGCGCAATAGCTAAATGAGAGCAGCAGTGTGAGTCACATCAATGCGCTAGGTAGATATCAATAATAAGTGATATCCGTATCGCCCGTAGGCTACACCACCTCCAAGCGTTAATTCAACGTGGATCATCTTTGGATGCCAACAGCAGTCGCACCATTTGAAGACATAGCTTGGACTGTAGCCTACAAAAGCTTATTCCTGCTCTTTTCTCGAGATCCATCAAACGCATTTGGTGTGTCATCATAACGGTCTCTGACTTGTGGACAGACTCGCTAAGGCGGAACAAACTTAAACTTGCACCTTTTCAATGCTGATTTGAATGTCACTGAGAAAACCGAAAGGTGTCAAATAATTTTTCCGCAAACATCCTTTCTGAATTTAAAAGTAATCATCTAGTTTTTCTAAAGTATCTGTAATCTGATTACAATATTTTTAGCTGGTAATGTAGCAGACAACAGTTTTTTGTAATCAGTTACATGTAATCCGTTACTCCCCAACCCTGTAAATTGATGTTATAGAATATCTGCAACCGTTTACCTAACGTTAGCTAAGGACAATTCCATGGTAACGGAGACTCAGATCTTTTACTTAAAAATGTATACCAAACAAAAACCATTCATTTAAAAGTTGAACAAACCATAGAAATCCATGCACAAGGACTACTTTTAACAATTTCCACCGAAAATCTTACGAAAACACATTTACAGAAAGAACTGTGCCGGTACAAAGTTTGGTAACAGAACAAAACTGAGGGAGATTCTACCGTAATTCTGTTAACAAACTTTGCATCTGTACAGTTTTTCCAGTAAATGTTGTTTGTGTGTGTAAATTGTTCGAAGTAGTCATTGTGCATAGAGTTGTATGGTTTTTAAAAACTTTGAAATCAATGGGTTTTTTTTGGCTTACATTTTAAAGTGAAAAATCAGAGTCTCTGCGTAATTCCGTTACCGTGGATTTGCCCCTAACCAATTAGCTAGCTAACTAGCTAATGTGGCTAGCTAGGTAGCTAGTACCATTGAATCTTCTACCATTTCCTATTGAATCTCAGGGTATAGATAACTATGGATACAAAAAGGCTGACTGCAATATCTCCAAATATTTTTTGGGTTGTAGGCAACCTATATTTCCTGTCTTTAGACCCCCAGCAGCTCACTCTCCCAGTCTCTGAAGAGGAGGTTCCCCTGAGCACTAGCCCTGTGAGCAGGAGTGTAGCCCCAGTCTGGGGCAGGATGACCCAGAGTCCACACAGATTAAAGAGGAACAGGAGGAACTCAGAACCAGTCAGGAGGAAGAGCAGCTTCAACCTAAGGAGTGTGACATATATTCAGGATCTCTTGTGTGAGAAGCATAACCCAAAATGTAGAAACAGAGAGAAATACTCTCTATCCAGCACCTCAACTGAAGAGATCAAAAACAGAACCTGATGGAGAGGACTACATGGCATCAGAACCAACCAGTGACCCTCAGCCTCTCTCTGCAGTAAATCCAGACTGTTCTGCAGCAGAGTGAACCCACTGAAAGTGTTGATGGGATCGGGTAGAGAGTGGAGGACTACTGTCAGGGTTGAAGCCACTCAATTCAAGGAGAACACAGGCAAAGAAAGGACCAAGCTACCATAGTGCTGGAGACAGGATAAACCCAAAGTTGTCCTATTTCAAATCCCCTCGTCAAAGCCATGCTGCTTCTCATTGATGCAAGGTGTATAAAATAATTGTACTTCACTGCGTCATTTAACTTTTCATGTGCAAACAAAACACATAAAGCATAATGAACATCTCTGTGGTGTGCGTGGGACAGACCTGGAGTCCACAGCGAGTTTGATAGATCACCTGGAAACTCACACTAAAGCTGAAACTAAACGTTTCTGTCATGTTCATGGCAAATGTTTCTCTCCGGATTATAAACTGAAAAGACATATGGGGAAGAAACCATAATAATGCAAATAATGTATAGTGCTTCATCTCTATGACACATCTGGCCATACATATGATGATTCACACAAAGGAGAAGCCATATAAAGTACAAAGATTGTGGGAATTGTTTCATCCAAATCAGATCTGACCAGGCATGTCGCTGGTTCTAATCCCCGAGCCGACTAGGTGAAAAATCTGTCGATGTGCCCTTAAGCAAGGCACTTAACCCTAATTGCTCCTGTAAGTCGCTCTGGATAAGAGCGTCTGCTAAATGACTAAAATGTAAAATGTAAAATGTATGTGATGATTCAAAGGGTTGAAACCATATACACCATTTGATTGATTATATATATATATATATATATATATAAAATTGTATTTATTTATTTGGATTTATTTAAATATACACAGAGTATACAAAATATTAAGGACACCTGTTCTTTCTTTCTGTTCTTTCCATGAGATGTGGTTGTGGTTGAGGATAGGGTTATAACACATCATAGAGAGTAGGGACGTCAAACGTTCAGCCTACTGCACAGACCCTATAGACACTCTACACTAGAGCGCCTGATTAAATTGTGCTCAGGAGCATTTAAAAAACATTCTCCATGGTTAAAGTAGGAAGAAATACACGGAGTACACAAAACATGCTCTTTCCATGACATAGACTGACAGGTGAAAGCTATGATACCTTATTGATATCACCTGTTAAATCCACTTCAATCAGTGTAGATGAAGGGGAGGAGACAGGTTCAAGAAGGATTTTTAAGCCTTGCGACAACTGAAACATGGGTTGTGTATGTGTGCCATTCAGAGGGTGAACGGGCAAGAAAAATATTTAAGTGCCTTTGAACGGGGTATGGTAACTGGTGCCAGGCGCACCGGTTTGTGTCAAGAACTGCGACGCTGCTGTTTTTTTAACGCTCAACAGTTTCCCGTGTGTATCAAGAATGGTCCACCACCCAAAGGACATCCAACCAACTTGACACAACTGTGGGAAGCATTGGAGTCAACATGGGCCAGCATCCCTGTGGAATGCTTTCGACACCTTGTGGAGTCCATGCCCTGACGAATTGAGGCTCTTGTGAGGGCAAAAGGGGGGGTGCAACTCAATATTAGGAAGGTGTTCCTAATGTTTGGTATATTCAGTGTAGGTGCCAAGAATGTGACAAATGTTTATACCGTAAGTAAATACTGACCAAAGGCGTCCACATATTAGGTTCGGTTTGCTCCTAGCACAACTCGGCTTGGCGAAGCGAACATCTTTACCTCGCATTCTCCCTTTAAAGACCTTAGGTTAACAAACTAGAAAAAAGCGACAATATTACTGTTTGAGACATCGTAGCAACAAATAGTTTCATCCAAAAGTCAGATCTGATTATCCATATCAGATGTCACAGAGGGGAGAAACCATATCAATGTAAAGAATGTGGCAAATGCGTCAAACATAATTCAGCTCTGATCAGGCATATCAATCAATCACATTTATTTATAAAGCCTTTTTACATCAGCAGATGTCACAGTGTTTATACAGCAACCCAGCCTAAAATCCCAAACAGCAAGCAATGCAGATGTACAGTGCCTTGCAAAAGTATTCATCCCCCTTGGCGTTTTTCCTATTTTGTTGCATTACAACCTGTAATTTAAATTGATATTTATTTGGATTTCATGTAATGGACATACACAAAATAGTCCAAATTGGTGAAGTGAAAAAAAAAAAAAAACCTTGTTTAAAAAAATTCTAAAAAATAAATAACGAAAAAGTGGTGCGTGCATATGTATACCCCCCTTTGCTATGAAGCCCCTAAATAAGATCTGGTGCAACCAATTACTTCCAGAAGTCACATAATTAGTTAAATAAAGTCCACCTGTGTGCAATCTAAGTATCACATGATCTGTCACATGATCTCAGTATATACACACACACCTGCTCTGAAAGGCCCCAGAGTCTGCAACACCACTAAGCAAGGGGCACCACCAAGCAAGCGGCACCATGAAGACCAAGGAGCTCTCCAAACAGGTCAGGGACAAAGTTGTGGAGAAGTACAGATCAGGGTTGGGTTATAAAATAATATCCAAAACGTTTAACATCCCACGGAGCACCATTAAATCCATTATAAAAAAATTGGCACCACAACAAACCTGCCAAGAGAGGGCCGCCCACCAAAACTCACGGACCAGGCAAGGAGGGCATTAATCAAAGAGGCAACAAAGATACCAAAGATAACCCTGAAGGAGCTGCAAAGCTCCACAGCGGAGATTGAAGTGTCTGTCCATAGGACCACTTTAAGTTGTACACTCCACAGAGCTGGGCTTTACGGAAGAGTGGCCAGAAAAAAGCCATTGCTTAAAGAAAAAAATACGCAAAAACGTTTGGTGTTCGCCAAAAAGCATGTGGGAGACTCCCAAACATAGGGAAGAAGGTACTCTGGTCAGATGAGACTAAAATTGAGCTTTTTGGCCATCAAGAAAAACGCTATGTCTGGCGCAAACCCAACACCTCTCATCACCCCGAGAACACCATCCCCACAGTGAAGCATGGTGGTGGCAGCATCATGCTGTGGGGATGTTTTTCCATCGGCAGGGACTGGGAAACTGGTCAGAATTGAAGGAATGATGGATGGTGCTAAATACAGGGAAATTCTTGAGGGAAACCTGTTTCAGTCTTCCAGAGATTTGAGACTGGGATGGAGGTTCACCTTCCAGCAAGACAATGACCCTAAGCATACTGCTAAAGCAACACCCGGGTGGTTTAAGGGGAAACATTTAAATGTCTTGGAATGGCCTAGTTAAAGCCCAGACCTCAATCCAATTGAGAATATGTGGTATGACTTAAAGATTGCTGTACACCAGCGGAACCCATCCAACTTGAAGGAGCTGGAGCAGTTTTGCCTTGTAAAATGGACTTGCAGCTGTAATTGCTGCAAAAGATGGCTCTACAAAGTATTGACTTTGGGGGGGGGGTGAATAGTTTCTGTTTTTTTGTCTTATTTCTAGTTTGTTTCACACCAAAAAATATTTTGCATCTTCAAAGTGGTAGGCATGTTGTGTAAATCAAATGATACAAACCACCTAAAAATCCATTTAAATTCCAGGTTGTAACGCAACAAAATAGGGAAAATGCCAAGGGGGGGTGAATACTTTTGCAAGCCACTGTAAAAGCACGGTGGCTAGGGAAAAACTCCCTAGAAAAGCAGGAACCTAGGAAGAAACCTAGAGAGGAACCAGGCTCTGAGGGGTGGCCAGTCCTCTTCTGGCTTTGCCCGGTGGAGATTATAAGAGTACATGGCCATTAAAGCCAGATCGTTGTTCAAACGTTCACAGATGACCAGCGGGGTCAAATAATAATCACAATGGTTATAGAGGATGCAACAGGTCAGCACCTCAGGAGTAAATGTCAGTTGTCTTTTCATAGCCAAGCATTCAGAGGTTGAGACAGCAGGAGCAGTAGAGAGAGAGAGAGAATCATATAGGTGTCAAGAATGTGGGAAATGCTTCTACCGTGAGGAACACCTGAACGCTCATGATTATTCACACAGGGAAGAAATCATATCAATGTAAAAATGTGTCAAATGCTTCATCTCTAAGACACATCTTACCAGACATATGATAATTCACACAGGAGAGAAACAACAAACGTGCAAAGATTGTGGGAAATGTTTCAACCAGGAGTTAAATCTGAGAAGGCAAATCTGAGAAGGGCATATTTCTCACACAGGGGAGAAAAATCTGGAAAATGTAGTAACACCGCAGCAAACTTAAAATGGCACCAGCAGAGAAACCTTATGGGTGCAACGCCTGTGGCAGATGCTTGAGTATGATTTACTTAAAAATCACAAAAGTACTGTTCATAAAAGTGAGAAGAACTCAAGACAGTTCCCTTGGAGTAAAATATGTTCCAACCAGTAGATTCCAACGGACATCCGAGTCACATTTAGAAGGGTGCAACGTGTTGAACGGTGCACATAGAAACATAATTTTAGAGCTGACAGGATTTCTTACTCTACAAAACAGGTTAGCATGTCTGTTCTATTCAATATACTTCTATCTGGATGTTCCATAACCTTTATCCCAGTTACTGGGTCGAGTAGGAGGACATAGCCCTCATGTGACTGCTCTTGTTCAAATAAGATATAATGAATGAATCAATGCATTTGGTAAACATTGAAGAGTATTGCTGTTGGCAAAGAGATGCTTTTGGCTTGCTGTTGGCAAGTGCTGTGTGCAGGAGTTTTCTTACATCAAATTACTTTTGGATATGTCTTGGGATACTACCTTTGGATGAAGATATGCGAGTGCATTTCAAAAAGACTCCATAGGCATTTATTGTAGAATCATGACACATTTCAGTTACTCAACTGTCTGTCATCAAAGCGGTTCTGTCTGTAGAAAGGCTCCTTATTCCAGAACACTTCATGTTTGTATCAGAAAATGTTCTTACACTTTAATTAAATCTAAGGAAAATTAATGTTACATTTTGTTATTAACATTTTGTTGCCTCAACCAAAACAATTATTTTCCATATTGAAGGCTTTTTAAAATCACTTTCATTAAAACCACAGTCTAAGATTTCCAGCAATATCAATTAGGCCTAATGAAAAATACATCACACACACACAAACGCAAACACTCACGCACACACACATGCATGCACACGCAATGTGAGAACTCAACTCACCAGAATGATTTTGGTTTCGTCCAGCTCAGCTTGTACTTTACTCATTGCGTCCGCCTCCCGAGGATTCTACAGACAAATAATCAGGGTTTAGTTAACGCAAAAACAAAACCACACATTGCAACACTTGCTGTTATAAGGAGTCCATCTATGGAACACACTTCCTGATCAGTTCAATAGTGTGTAACATTAATGCATTTTTATGCAAATAAAAATGTAAATAAATCAATTCTGATGAACCTGTGAGAGGGATTGTGTGTGTTACCTGGTACTTGGCGAGGTAGCTGTCCAGGGCAGTATAGTGGACAGTGGCAGGAGAACCAGAGGGCCAGTCTATACTGCTCACCTGTCTGGAAAATTCCTCCAGCACCTTAAAGAGAGGAGAGGAGAGGAGAGAAGGAGGGGAGGAGAGAAGGAGAGGGGAGGATAGTAAGGAAAGAGTAGACAGGAGAGGGGTGAGGAAGAGTAGAGAGAAGGAGAGGGGTGAGGAGGAGGAGAAGGAGAGGGGTGAGGAGGAGGAGAGAGAAGAGGGGTGAGGAGTAGAGAGAAGGAGAAGGGTGAGGAGGAGTAGAGAGAAGACGAGGGGTGCGGAGGTGAGAGAAGGAGAGGGGAGGTGAGAGAAGGAGAGGGGAGGAGAGAGAAGGAGAGGGGAGGAGAGAGAAGGAGAAGGGAGGAGAGAGAAGGAGAAGGGGAGGAGAGAGAAGGAGAAGGGAGGAGAGAGAAGGAGAAGGGAGGAGAGAGGAAGGAGAGGGGAGGAGAGAGAAGGAGAAGGGAGGAGAGAGAAGGAGAAGGGAGGAGAGAGAAGGAGAAGGGAGGAGAGAGAAGGAGAGGGGAGGCGAGAGAAGGAGAGGGGAGGAGAGAGAAGGAGAAGGGAGGAGAGAGGAGGAGAGAGTAGTCAGGACTGAGGACTCATCCTAAGCAGGATACATGCATCAATCAAACCTCTGAATTTCTAAATTGAATTTCAAAAAGACAGATGGCAAATCCACAGAGGCAGTAATATTTCACGACTAGCAATCCATGACTAACGCCCCTAACATAGGCAATGCATAAACCTATCTAGTTCTCCTATTCTCCACTCCTCAGTAAATGGGTCTGAATGTAAGGCAGATCACATGAATAGCACAATAAGTCTCCTTCAAGCTGAACATTAAGTCCATACTAAGCCTTTCTGAGACAGTGTGTAAAAATCACACTCCAGAGAAGGAGTCTCCAACAGGTAAATGGCGAGCTACCAGTAGCTCGCAGCCCACCTATGAGTAGCTCGCCAAGCAATTCTGAAAGTAGGCTACATGCATTTTTTCCCCATGTGTTCCATCGCAAACTGTCAAACATAGAGCTCCCGGCTACTATCCAATCAAAACCACATTGACATTGTCCCACCCCTGGTTAGCCACTATTGGCTTAAAAGGCCAAAAGAAACACAATATCTGCCAATTAATTTTCAGCAGTATTTCCCCGGTCTGTCTGTTTGGTGCGCCCGTTTGTCTATCACTCCTTATGTAGCCAGTTAGCGATGCTAGTAATGATAACGGTCTTGTGGGTAGACAGAAAGACTTTCCACAAAAACCTTCTCAATTAAAATGTTAACCGCAAAGTAGGCTTACCTGACCTGATTATTTGTATCAATTTGGTGGCCATTGTTTAGCAAATTCTGCCATGACATGCTGCAGCAGTAATTCAATCAGAAACATTACTAGATGACACATTCCTCTCTTTCTAAAGGGGAATTACACTCAAAAATATACATTTGTTCATTTGTTTTTCATGCCTCAAAATTGGTCTTCTGATGTGATTTAAGCATTGACATGGACTCAGAACATCCACTTACATTGTTTCTCTATGAATAATTGTAATATTGAGAGTAAAAATTGAGAAAACCCCCCAGACAAAACAGAATTCTTGAAAATACAAAACATAATTTTATGGGACCCCTTAGAGTTGTTTATCAACAATTATTTTACAAGGTATATTGACAGAAAACATATATTGTACACTAAGGACCCGGGAAGAGTTTCAGGGTAGAGGAGAAGAGAAAAATGTGCCTATTTGAAAGCTAAAAAATAAAATAAAATAGTGGAGTAGCTTGCAACATTTTAAAAAAGGTTGCTCTCATGCTAGAAAAGGTTGGAGCCCTCTGCTCTAGAGGGATACTCTCCTACCTTATCCAGTAGGGTGAAGCACACTCTAGAGGGATACTCTCCGTCAGCAATCACCACCGCACCCAGGGAGTCATTCCTCACATACACGTGACACAGGTACTCTGAGAGGGAACACACACACAGTCAGTCTCTGAGATACCTATGGGGGCTAATGTGGAGTTAGTGAATGTGGGTGGTATTGTGTGTGGTGTGTATGTGTAAGAGCGAGAGCATGTATGCCTATGTGTGTGTCGTCCTCACACTAACCTTGTTCTTTGACAGAGGCTCGGCTCCCTATAGATGATCGTTGCACTATGAGGTCACTGGTGAACGTCATGAACTCCTGAACACTGAGACACAACCACACACAAATGATGAAGTAAGTCTCAAAAGATACTATCTATATTTAATACTCATGTTGCAGTGGGAAAACCTGGGCAACATTGCAGATCAGACAGAGACCAGTAGCTACATGACACCACTCATTGACTTTTTAAAAGAGACCGTGACATATGTTATAGTTTAAACAAGGTGTGGCCAACCCTTCTCCAAGAGAGCTAGTGGGTGTGCAGAACTAATAGTGCCAGCACTACATGAACACACTTCCTGATTCAGCTAATTAGTAGAATGTGTGTATTTATATTCCTGGGGATGGAACAAAGTCCTGCGGGAGGTTAGGGTAGCTCTACTCCACAGAAGGACGGTAAGCCTGCCACCCCTGTCATAAAGCATAGGGCTGGTTTCCCAAACACTGACTAATCACATTCCTATAGGTTCAATGGAAATGATCAATTTAAAGTGTTTTTTAGTCCATGACTAGGCTTAATCTGTGTCCAGGGAAACTGGCCCATAGATAGATAGATAGACAAAGAGCCAACCCCACCTGGACTTCTGGAAGAAGCTGAAGGATGACAGGTCGTAGGCAGCTTTCAGTAGGTTAGACTTGGTGGTCCCTTTATACAGCACACTCAGACTGAAGAGCTTCATGGTGGTGCTGTGGATAACCTCTGTCTTCTAACGCAGGCAGCCTGCAACGATGAGATCAAGCCCCGTTTCACTTTCAGCTACATGCCGCTGCACTGTCATGCTCATTTCCACACTGATGATCACACACACAACAGGACAGGGTGTGTAGCTAGTTAGTTACTCAAACTTGCTACTGACATAGCGATTAACTACACAACATGATCTGAATGAAGTTAATGGACATACTGGTAGCAGCATTAGGCACTGTTTTTCCTGTAGTATAACGTTTAATAACCAAACAAAGTTAGCTGTTGCAAACATTAGCAGCTAGATAACGTTATAAAACTAGCTAGTGTCTAAAAGCTACAAACACAACTGTCACTATCGGATAAACTTCCAACTTTTCAACAAAGCAACAGGTTGCTGCTAATGACAGTTTAACCGGTTAAAGACTGTGACAGGCCTGAAACATAGCTAGCTAGTAAGATATAGTAGTCTTACCTTGCTCTCTCCTCGACACAAACTTGATCCACCAGAATTTGCCGGCTATCTTATGAGTTAGCTAGCTAGCTTAACGTTAACTAATTAACGTTAGCTTACAGTACAATTTTAACAAGTTTGAGTCAAAATAGGGGGGAAAAAGTGTTATATAGTTTCACTAGCTTGTCTAGTTAAACGATGGTGGTAATAACTATAACCAGAGATATTGCTCGCAAAGAAACTCCCCTTATTTGCCAAACTACACAGGATGTTGACGACGCCTACGTCATTGGCGAAAATATGTCCATCCTCAGAGATATGCCGGTTTACAGAATTCAAGAAGTTGAGAGAAAGGTACCTACCCCTTCCACCATCGGTCACTAGCAGCTGTTCCAAATCCTCCTTCCAATAACTTAAAGAAATATACTGTTATTATTGACTTCGTTAACAACACTATTATTTGTACCGCAATATTTAGGGTAGTATGTTATCCAAATGAATTTTTATTATAATCAAATTGTGGTCCTATTCCCTGTAGGCGAAGGCCTGCCTACATCATATACAGTGCCTTCGGAATGTATTCAGACCCCTTCCCTTTTTCCACATTTATTTTTACGTTACAGCCTTATTCTAAAATTGATTACATAAAAAAATGTCCTCAGCAATCTACACACAATACCACATAATGACAAAGCGAAAACAGGTTTTTAGAAATGTTAGCAAATGTATTAAAAATAAAAAATAAATGAAATACCTTATTTACATAAGTATTCAGACCCTTTGCTATGATACTCGAAATTGAGCTCAGGTGCATCCTGTTCCCATTGATCATCCTTGAGATGTTTCTACAACTTGATTGATCCAAATTCAATTGATTGGACATGATTTGGAAAGGCACACACCTGTCTATATAAGGTCCCACAGTTGACAGTGCATGTCAGAGCAAAAGCCAAGCCATGAGGTTGAAGGAATTGTCCGTAGAGCTCAGAGACAGGATTGTGTAGAGGCACAGATCTGGGGAAGGGTACCAAAAAATGTCTGCAGCATTGAAGGTCCCCAAGAACACAGTGGCCTCCATCAATCTTAAATGGAAGAAGTTTAGAACCACCAAGACTCTTCCTAGAGCTGGCCACCCGGCCAAACCGAGCAATCAGGGGAGAAGGGCCTTGGTCAGGGAGGTGACCAAGAACCCGATGGTCACTCTGTCAGAGCTCTAGAGTTCCTCTGTGGAGATGGGAGAACCTTCCAGAAGGACAACCATCTCTGCAGCACTCCACCAATCAGGCCTTTATGGTAGAGTGGCCAGACAGAAGGCACTCCTCAGTAATAGGCACATGACAGCCTGCTTGGAGTCTGCCAAAAGGCACCTAAAGACTCTCAGACCATGAGAAACACGATTCTCTGGTCTGATGAAACCAAAATTGAACTCTTTGGCCTGAATGCCAAGCGTCATGTCTGGAGGAAACCTGGCACCATCCCTACGGTGAAGCATGGTGGTGGCAGCATCATGCTGTGGGGATGTTTTTCAGCGGCAGGGACTGGGAGACTAGTCAGGATCGAGGGAAAGTTGAACGGAGAAAAATCTAGAGAGATCCTTGATGAAAACCTGCTCCAGAGCGCTCAGGAACTCAGACTGGGGCGATGGTCCACCTTCCAACGACAACGACCCTAAGCACAAAGGCAAGGCCACGCAGGAGTAGCTTCGGTACAAGTGTCTGAATGTCCTTTAGTGGCCCAGCCAGAGTCCGGACTTGAACCCTATCGAACATCTCTGGAGAGACCTGAAAATAGCTATGCAGCACGCTCCTCATCCAACCTGACAGAGCTTGAGAGGAACTGCAGAGAAGAATGGGAGAAACTCCCCAAATACAGGTGTGCCAAGCTTGTAGCGTCATACCCAAGAAAACTTGAGGCTGTAATCACTGCCAAAGCTGCTTCAACAAAGTACTGAGTAAAGGGTCTGAATACTTATGTAAATGTAATATTTCAGTTTTTTATTTTTAATAAATTAGCAAACATTTCTAAAAACCATTTTTTCTTTGTCATTATGGGGTATTGTGTGTAGATTGATGAGAGGAAAAAAAACAATTGAATCAATTTTAGAATAAGGCTGTAACCTAGCAAAATGTGGAAAAAGTAAAGGGGTCAGAATAATTTCCTAAGGCACTGTAAACAACAAAGATATTGTATGAAACATTTTTTTAAGAACATTCCTTTAATGTGACAATACACACACGGCAGTTTCCACTGATATTAGTAATCATATTTAACCAAACATCAGAATCAACATTTTGAAGCAAAGCATGACTTCAGCGTGAGTGTCAAATAACTTTTTTATACTCTTTCATTGTGAAATATTTGAAGCACCCTATTATGTCAAGGCTATTTTATGTCTACGTCTCAGAATAGGCTTGCTTAAGTAAATAATATGAATAACATGCGATTAACTCCCTGCTCTGCAGAGAGAGAAAGTAGCCTATTCTCTGATCTATGTGTGAGCATTACAAAAATATATCCGAATACATTTAAGATCATCATGAGACATTAATGGAATAGCACAGAGAAAGCATTCTTCTTTTAAAATAAGTGTAAAAAAAAAAGAATGCTATATTTTCTTTCAGCTCTGCAAGGAATTACATTTTGTTTTTAATTTCCCACAATTTGAATAATGCCTTTGTTATGATTGTGTATTTAATAACTGTAATTTGTTACTTTAGCAATTAAATTAAATTCACTTTAGTAATCATCGAACTTGTACTCAAAGGTGTAGTCCTGTGTAGGCTCTGACTCCTGGGTCTCTGTGAGGACCTCAGCAGGCGTGGGCTCTGTGTACGAACTCTCCACAGGGAACCACGAGTCATACCAGGAAGTAGTGCTCTCTGTCTCCAGCGCCGCCATCGTTGTGGGGGCTGCCGTGGTGGTCGTCGTGGCAACGGTCGTGGTGGTGGAGAGGTTATTCCTGAGTCTCTGCTGGTGCAGCTTGCGCAGGCGCATCAGCCGTAACCGCCGGAGACGCTCTGCATTATGGGAGTTGGCCGACGTACCGCCCGTCCCGCCACTGGCGCCCGTCTTTGCTACGTCTACACTGCCAACTGACCCACCGCTGATGTCACTTCCTGCCTGGGGGGGTGCCTTGGTAACAAGCCGTATGGGCCTCTTGCCATGGAGGGCCATGATCTGCTTGATGCGGTCCCAGTTGGACTTGGCTAGGGTGAAGCTACAGGGGGTGGCCCCGGAGTCATAGCCCACAATGCACAGCCGGGTCTGGGGCGTGTGGCCGTCGGTGCGGGCCGTCACACGGTACTCCCCGGGGTTCAACAACCTCCAGTAGTCACCCGCTGCAGCTAGAGGGTGGGGGGGGGGGGGGGGGGGGTGAGGAAGAGGGAGAGAGAGAGGAAGAGGGTGTGAGAAAGGGAATGAGCAGAAAGAGAGAGAAAGAGGAGCAGAGATTTTGTTGATTCCTCATTTTTTTTCTCAATGAACTACCATGTACATTAAAAGTAAGACCTTCTGGTAAGAACTGTTCTCTGTGGTTTGCGGTCTGCCTCTGGGATGTGCTGTGTGTTTGTGTGTGTGTGTGTGTGTGTGTGTGTGTGTGTGTGTGTGTGTGTGTAAATGCAGGTTTACCAGTCTTGACATCGTGCTTGACACCGTCCACAGAGATGGTGGCGTTGGCCAGGGGTTTACCCTCCATGTCCCTCACTATGCCCTTTATCCCACGATGCACCTGGCACATGAAACAGGAAACAGCACCTATATCAGGGCTCAATGCTCAGATGACATCACTGGGAGCAATACAATCAGCGTATAAACTAGCTATTTTCATACAGCAACATACAGTACAGTTTCCAGTAAAGACACATTAAATACGTTAAAAAACAAGAATGAGAATGGTTTAAAAAGACAATAATAAGTATTAAATGATGTTATCTGTGTTTTCTCACCTGTTCTATGAAGGACAGTAGTGCCTCCCGGTTGTTCTCCCACTCCAGAGGCAGCTCACTTTCATGAGGAAACTTGTCACAGCCCAGGAAGACAGACAGCTCAAAGCAGTTAGTGTGCAGGTAGCTGAAGTCATTCATACCTGTGGGTTTACAGTGTGGTGGGGAGGGAAGAATACATGATATAGGGTTAATTAGGAGTGTTGTAACACTGTCTGTCTCTCTCTCTCTCTCTCACCAGATTTGTCCATACTTTTCTCTTCCTCTCTCATTTTTTTTTTTAGTCATTTAGCAGACGCTCTTATCCAGAGCGACTTACAGTTAGTGAGTGCATACATTATAATTTTTTCATACTGGCCCCCCGTGGGAACTCATTCTCTCTTTGTCATACTCTCTCCTTTCCTTTTTTTCTCCCCATCTCTGTCTCCCTCTTCCCCTTACTCCCCCGCCCCATAGACACTCACTTCCCACCACAGGTTTCCAGCTGGCCCTGTTGATGATGCCCTGTCCCCCAGAGATGTCGTCTGTGTGGCAGGAACCCCGCTGGGTCTCCGTCATGGTCAGGTGGCTGTGGGCGTACGACATGGCCAGCCAGCGGAACATGGTGTTGTCAGACGTCTCCCGTAGCGCGTCCCCGTTCTGACGCTGCATCCGGGCCCACGTTTCCTCGTTCATCTCATGGTCCACACCGGGTCTCGACCCACGCCAAGACCCCAAAGTCTGTTGGAAGACAGAGGCATTAGACATATGTTAATGTTATAGAAGAGACCAGGGCTAGGCCTGAAATGGAACCCTATCCTCTTGGCTCCCAGTGCAGATATAATTCCTTGGGTATGTCTGAAATTCCCTATATAGAAATTCACTAAATAGTGGAATACCTTTGGACACCAGTGTTCAGGGCGGACTACCGCATTTGGGGCCCCAAGGCAGTTTTAAGATCATTTCCTGCAATTCTACACTTTTTGCAATGGTGTCTTCTGTTTCATTGCTCATCTTATGCTTTTGTTCACATTTTGCCATGAGGCTGAGAGAACATTTTGCTATCATAGCCCAGATAGCATATGATTTTTGGGGTTCGGGGCCCCCTGGAAGTCGGGGCTCCGGGGCATGTGCCCTGAGTGCTCGTTCGGTAATCCAGCCCTGCCAGTGCTGATTCATCTTATTCCAGTCAGAACAGAACCCACCCCTGTAGCCTTTGGAGGCCGCTGCATGTCAAACGGGTACGCCACCACTTTCTCTCCCCCCTGAAAATTGGCTCCCAACACAAATGGGGTCCGCTCCATCCAGTTAATGATGGCTTTGGTCTCCAGGGCAACCTAGAGAGAGAGAGAGAGAGAGAGAGAGAGAGAGAGAGAGAGAGAGAGAGAGAGAGAGAGAGAGAGAGAGAGAGAGAGAGATGATAGAGAGATAGAGAGAGAGAGAGGATAGCATGAGAGAGAGAGAGAGAGAGAGAGAGAGAGAGAGAGAGAGAAATGTAGATCTAACACCAGAAATACAAACCATAGTATAATTGGAAAATTAACAATACAAAATAATAAACATTAAAAAAATATATCTGTAGCCCTAACACCTACCGAGCCATCGAGGAAGTTCTCTGGGAGTGGGATGTGGTGATTGGGTACAATGCGTGGGACCCAGCCCCTGTCCTCTGCCCCCCATAGAACACTGTTGAGGTCCGGGAAGTTCTGGAAGATATCGTATCCCTCCTCAGTCCAGTGGCCCAGACCCCAGTTCCCCATCTCAGAGCCCTGGAAATGAGAGAGGAGGCTAGAAAATAATAAAGAAAGGATCTCTATTGGAGAGATTATACACCTCTAAGAGCAGGGAGTGTGGGGCCAGGGGTGTGAGAAACCGCATATGGAAAGGACAGTATGTAATGTAACATTGGTTCCAGTTTCATCAGTTGAAACATATACTGTATATTCCTTGTTGGAGCATCTTTCTGGAATGAGCCCAGGTCCCTCACCATCTCGTAGGCCAGTTCGTAGGCGTCGGGGTTGAGTGAGGGAACAAGGTGTATTCTCACTCCCTCCACCAGGCGGCGCACTCGGGGGTTGTCGTCGTTATACTCCTTACACATGAACTGCATCAGCAGGAGGAGCAGCTCCCGCCCCAGCACCTCATTACCATGGAGACCAGCCGTGTAGCGGAACTCCGGCTCACCTGGTGAGGAAGATGACGTCATCATGTGACGGTGTTTTGTGATCAGTTAGTATGTGTGTGTGTTCCTTTGCTGTATGGCTCACCTATCACACACACACACACACACACACCTGTCTCATGTTCCCCGGGGTTGTCAGAGATCTCCATGGCATACATCTTCAGGCCTGAAGAGCTCTTCCCAATGTTATAGATCCTAGTGATGTTAGGACACTCCTCATTTATCACCTTCATCATCTGAGATGGAGAGAGGGAGGGAGGAGAGAGGTGGACGAGGGAGAAGGGAGAGAGGGAGAGAGACGAGGGAGGAGGGAGTGATGGAGGGAGAGATGGAAAGATGGAGGGAGACAGAGAGAGAGGAGGAAGAGAGGAGAGGAGAGAGGGATGAGGAAGAGATGAAGGAAGGACAGTGTCAAGCTCACCTGTCACACTCTTCAGACTCACCTGTCTCATGTCCTTATAGTTGTGGTGTCTGAAGTCCAGGTTGTCTGTGGGGTTGACCTCATTCTCACTACGGAATCTGCCTGCGGGGAGGGTAGGGCAGACTGAATACACATGGGAGTGATCATTCATGGGGGAGTAACAGGGATGGTTGAGGAGGTGATTATCATTTTAAGGGTTATGAAGGTGATGGAGTTAGGGATGTGATGACGTTCTGGAGTTATGGAGGGTTGATGGGGTTATGCATTGTATTGTACTCACTGGTCAGTTGGCAGGCCATGACCTCAACTCTGAGACACAGGCTGCCGTTCCAGCTCTGGGGAAGGATACGGATGTAACGTGCCACGGTTGGCCAATCAAACTGCACCATCACTGGAGAGTCCCTATCCACGTTCCCATAGAACAACTGGAGGGTTGGAGGGGGAGAGGGAGGAAGAAGAGGGGGAGGAGGAGGAGGAGGAGGAGGAGAGGGTATGGAGAGAGGAGGAGAGTGGAGGAGGAGGAGAGGGTATGGAGAGAGGAGGAGAGTGGAGGAGAGGGAGGGTATGGAGAGGAGAGGAGAGGAGAGGAGAGGAGAGGGAGGGTATGGAGAGGAGAGGAGAGTGGAGGAGAGGGAGGGTATGGAGAGGAGAGGGAGGGGAGAGGAGGAGAGGGAGGGTATGGAGAGGAGAGGAGAGGGAGGGGAGAGGTTAGAGAGGAGGAGAGTGGAGGAGAGGGAGGGTATGGAGAGGAGAGGAGAGAGGGGGAGAGGGAGGAAGAAGAGGGGGAGGGAGGAGGAGGAGGAGGAGGAGAGGGTATGGAGAGAGGAGGAGAGTGGAGGAGGAGGAGAGGGTATGGAGAGAGGAGGAGAGTGGAGGAGAGGGAGGGTATGGAGAGGAGAGGAGAGGGAGGGTATGGAGAGGAGAGGAGAGTGGAGGAGAGGGAGGGTATGGAGAGGAGAGGAGAGGGAGGGGAGAGGAGGAGAGGGAGGGTATGGAGAGGAGAGGAGAGGGAGGGGAGAGGTTAGAGAGGAGGAGAGTGGAGGAGAGGGAGGGTATGGAGAGGAGAGGAGAGAGGAGGAGAGAGGAGGAGAGGGAGGGTATGGAGAGGAGAGGAGAGGGAGGGGAGAGGTTAGAGAGGAGGAAAGTTTAGAGATTATTTGGATATTAAATTGGCGGCTACACTGACCCACTCAGCATAGCCATCATGGAGCACCGTCCAATCACGACTGTCATTACTGAAGGACACGTAGAACGTGGATACAAAATCTTCCCTGAAATACAGAGAGAGAAGAAAAAGAGAGCGAGAGAGAAAGAGAGAGAGAGACTTTACACTTTACAAGTCATACGATTTGTAAGTCGCTCTGGATAAGAGCGTCTGCTAAATGACGTAAATGTAAATGTAAATGTAAATACGAATATTCAACATGCTATCTCTAACATTCAAAGTGCCAGATGATTCCACAGGTAAGATTCCATTTCCTATTACTTTTCCCCTATAATCCCTTCTACAGCATTCTGCTTATCTAATGGATAAAACTCAACCTATTGATGTATGTGTATTGTTCATTTCAAATAAATTGTGCAGGTTAATAGGGATTCCACCTGGCCCTGGCTGTGTGAACGGTGCAGTGAACCCCAGTGCAGTGACCCCAGGCAGCAGGACTTACGCTGTGTCTGAGTTCCTGCCCTGTACGATTACTCCAGTGAATTCCACCTCTCTGCGAGCATCCACCTCAAACCAGTGGTTCTTCTCCTCTGGCTCGGCACACCACGCACCCCCGTACACACCCTCCTCATCACCGGAGCTCTGGGGAGACAAAGTGGTCCCCTCTCTGGTCAGATGTGTTGGGGCTGTGTGTCTGCTGATTTTATGTGAAGATTTGGTTGGTGCGTTTGTCCATAGGAACATTAGAATACAACCAGTATAATGGGTATTACAACATTCAGTATCTATAAAGCTGCCGTACGTGTCTGTAATATAGCGTACAGTGGCGTACCGCAGTTTTGCGGTTTTAAAGCAAATTTCCTGTAATTGCCATGGCATATGACTTGTTCATATCCTATTTTTTTGTTGTTGTTGTTGTTTGTTTTGTTGTTGGGTAGGGGGCCCCCATGCCTTGCGGGGGCTGCGGGGGTGTGTGGTATGCCAGTGATAGTGTAGTATAATCTGTGTACCTGCATGTTGAGCATGCCTCTCTGCGCAGAGAAGTCGTGGTGAGTCTCAGACGAGGCAGTACTGTGGTGTTTGTAGTATAGTGTAGTAAAGTCTAATATACTGTTGTATAGTGTATCATACTGTGTGTACCTGCATGTTGAGCATGCTTTTCTGAGCAAAGAAGCCGTGGTGAGACTTAGACGAGGCAGTACTATGGTGTAGTACTCTATATTACTGTGTATCTATACTACAGTGTAGTGTAGTACAGTGTTTACCTGCATGTTGAGCCTGCCCCGCTGAGCAGAGAAGCCATGGTGAGACTGAGAAGAGGCCAGCAGCTGGTCATCGTTAACACGATGGGACTCCAGACCTAGAGGAGGGCATTCTGGGAACAAAACGAAACAAGTAATAAATAATGGGACACACTCCAAAAAATAACATTATTTCATTTTCGTTTTATCTGCTTTATTGTCAAATAAAGTTTACAAAACAGTTTCTGTCTGCTAAATGTTTTGGTCTATAGTCGTCAATAGCAACAGGCTGAAAGCACTCTGTTGATGCTGACCCCATCGTACACAAACACACACACACACCTGAACACACACACGCAGGCACGCACGCACGCACACTGACCAACACACACACACAATACTTTTGTGGATTCTGAAAGGGTGAAAAGAGAATGGTTTGTTTTCAAGTGCGGCAAAATGCTTTTATTTTCTCACAGCAACCTTTTTCCTTTTTATGAGGTCTCAAAAGGCCATAAAACAAGTCTAAAATCTGATGCTTGTAAGAGGAAGAGAAAGAAAGAGAACATGCTAGTCTTCTCCAAGTCTGACTGTACAGTAAAACATGTCTTTCTGGCAGGACCAGAATTCTGATTGGGGAGAAAGCCAGGTTGTTACAGTAGACAGGAGAAAAAAGGTCAACAGTCCAGCTGCAGCAGATAGACAGTCATGTAAGGCAGGGTTTCCCAAAGTCAGTCCTGGGCCCCCCCCTGGCTGCACATTTTGCTTTTTGCCCTAGCACTACACAGCTGATACCAAAACTAAAACATGCACCCCAGGACCGAGTTTGGGAAACCCTGATGTAAGGGACGCACAGCACACTCTGATGCACACAGGCACTGTCATGTCCTGTTGGGGTCACTGTAAAACTGGGGGTAGGGAAAGGAGTATATTTTTATCCAGAGCAACTTGCAAGTTGAAGCTGATCATGAATTAATATGAAAACCAGTGTTGAGGCGATTTCCTTACTCTTGGGTTCGGCATGTACCGGGATCTGCCTCAGCCTCTCCTCCTCTTCCTCCTCCCACTTCTTCCTCAGCCGCTCCACTGTGATGCATGATGGGAACACACCGTCATGGCTCTCCAACTCACCAAGCATCAAATACTTCCATATGTGCTGCTGCTAGTAGAGTACTGAATATTACAATCACTGCCATTCCATTTCTCTCCCATAAGTCTGCATATTCACGTAAACAGATGTTTCACTTTATCCAATGAAACTATACTGATACACAGGGTAGTGACTGATTTTCAAGTATACACTTGAAATCTCTTCTCAAGCAGACAGCCTGCGGTCCTGCACACACTCAAAATGAACCCCAACCCCCTCCTATCCTTCCTCCCTTTTTCCCTCTCTTTATCCCTCCCCCCTTCTCCCCCGTCTCTCTCACTGACATCAACCGGCCCAGGGCCCCAACACATGGCAGTAGCTGTTTTGATAAACCCGCTTCCTATCCTTCTCCCGCCCTGTCCTCTCTCTCTCTTCCTCAATCCATCCCCCTCTCTCACACACAGCCACTGCCCTTTTCTCCCTCCACTCCCCAACATTGACAATGTTTCAATCTACAGGCTATAATGGTCCTTGTTCCATAAACAACCCAGTTGTCTCTGTAAGTGATTCATTAACACATAAGGGGGCCCTAAAGGGACAGGGCTACAGGGTTCCCTCTGACAGACAGATCAAAGTGATTCAGACCTTTTTCCTCCTTCTCCTTGCGAGCTTTCTCCGCCTCCTCCTCAAGTTTTTTAGCTGCCACTGTAGAGGTTAGAGAGAGGTTAGAGAGAGGTTAGAGGGAGGTTAGAGAGAGGTTAGAGAGAGGTTAGAGAGAGGTTAGAGGGGGGTGCTCTTACCAACATGATCACACAACAAATGCAGACAGTACAGGCTGCTCATACAGGTGATCATACATGACCAAACAATTGCAGGAAAGAGAGACAGACAGACAAATAGACAGACATAACATGTGATGTACGTACAGTCTGCATAATCATACTCTTCGTACCAGGGCATTGGCGGCACTGTGGTTTCCTCTGAAAGAAAATGTGCATGCATGGTAAATACATTGAATTGTTCAAATGTGTCCTCTCAAGTATCGCCCAATTCATTTATGTGATGGGCTGTTTACCTGGTACATACATGATGACCTCAGTGGTGGTCCTCTCTCTGTCCACTGTCAGAGATGGAAACAGACATTTAGATGTCTTAGAGGGCTGAACAACTTCACAACAACTTTCTGTTACTGTACTGTTCATGAAAATAGATGTTTCCTCTCAACTGTCACAAACATTAGAAATGGCTTTGACAACATGAGTGTTTTGCTTTTGTTGTAATAGCTTATTGATGACATATGACCATAATCTCTGCCAAGCTAAATTCATGCTTCAAATCAGAGAAGATTGAATTGAAAGTGATAGCTAGTTGAGTTGTCAGACATACTCTTGGCGTCCCAGTAATCTTGCTCATGCTCTGTCAGGGTCTTGGAGCCAGTAGAGGGAGGTGTGGGTCCCGAGGGTCTCCTGTCTACTGGGCAGAAACAACACACACAAACCACAACACAGAGTCAACTCAGTCGCCTCGCATTGCAAATGAATGAGATTATACTGTAACATTACATTACATTAACGTGGCCTGCTTGTTTTTAAAGGTCTGACATGAAAAGAACCAACTCATAGGGAACAGATTAGCACACAGATGCTCTAATATCTCCTAAAGATCTCATAGTCTTATGTCAAACCATCTCTTACCCTGGCCTGGCTCTCGAGGATCCTTAGGGGTCACAGGTGTGATCACTACAGAGACAGTACAGCCATTTTATTAAATCACAAACCAACACACTGCATTAAAATAATATATTATTTACTCAATGTACAGTCTACCTGCACTAAAAGACTAACGCACTATTGTAAAGCATCTTTGGTCCTAGAAAAGCGCTATGTACATCCAATGCATAACTATAAAATTATATTAAAATTATCTATATACGTACATCTGTCCCAGCCCAGCTCAATCAGCAGTTTCTCCTCCTCCTCTTCCAGACTGGGTCTCCTGGTCACCGGCTTCACCCCCTCCTCCTTCCATGCTGATGTCTTGGAGGCCTTCGTAGCTTTGGACTTGGTGACCTTAGGCGCCTTGGTGTCTTTAGGTGTCTTGGTGGCCTTTGGTGCCTTGGTGGCTTTAGGTGTCTTGGTGGCCTTTGGTGCCTTGGTGGCCTTGGGCTTCTTGGGTGCCTTGGTGGCTTTGGGTTTTTTAGTGGGTTTCGGGGCTTTGGGTGCCTTGGTGGCTTTCGGTGCCTTGGGGGCTTTCTGCTTCTTGGCTTTGGCCTCCTTCTCTGCGGCTTTCTTTGCCCTGGCTGAAAAGAGAAAGGGAGAGAGAGAGGGAGAGAGAGAGTTTACTGAAGAGAGAGAGAGAGCGTGTGAGTGAGTAAGTGACCTCCACAATTACTACACCCCAGCCCCATCCAGAAAAATAGAGAAAGAGAACAGAAGGTTGGAACAGAATATGGGACCACTAACTACAGCATGAAAGAGAGATAGAGAGAGAGAGAGAGAGAGAGAGAGAGAGAGAGAGAGAGAGAGAGAGAGAGAGAGAGAGAGAGAGAGAGAGAGCAAGAGCAAATGATAGAGAGAGAGCTCCCGCATTTTTCAGCATGCTTTTACAAAAAATACACTTCAACTGGAAGCCAGTGGAGTGTGCGGAGGAGGAGGGTGACGTGAGATTTAGAGTTAGATTAACTTTGATTTTTTGGCAGGGACATATACAGGATGCTACCCTCCACAACATAACCTTCACTCCAAACCAAAACTCCAAAACTCCAAACCTACAACCTGATTTTGGACAGAATTACCTGGAATTACCTGGAAGGCTTTCTACTACCAAGGATTACTATTCACAAGCTATACAGCAAATGCTCTGGCAAACAAACAGAAACCTGAAAACACCATCCAACCTTGAACAGAGTGAGTAATGTTTAGTCTGAAGCTATTTTTTACTTTCAAAAACCAAGAAGAAAAATATATTACAGTGATATATTTTACTTTATAAGGACTGAATGCTAAGGCTACCAAGCTTGCTAGGACAAAGAGATACAACTTCAATTAGCACTGACGTGTGAAGTGAGAGGTGTCAAAGCCCTTGAGCCCAACAATGGCAGGAGAGTTGCAGTCTACCCCAACCAAATGGAGAGGCCTTAGAAACACCCTTCCGCTGTTCAGAGGTAATTAAAATACAGTACCCTCTGTATGTAAAGAATGATAAGACATGATAAGAGTACAAAATGCTCCGTATGGGAAATCAAGAGACACTTTTTGCTGACTTTTATAAAAATGGGAACATAAGCAACCGTATCTTCCACACATCCCCTTGCATGGCACAGTGCTATATTAACACACTACCCCTCTGTTAAGAGGGGGGGTGTTAGTGATGGGTGGAAACTCAGGATACTAGACAATGATGACGCTGAGTCAGCTAATATACATCTCTATAAATCTGGAACAGTATTGGTACAGGGCAACCCCAAACAGTTTCAGCTGGACTTTCACCTAAACAAAGAAATAGCTCAGCAGGAGAAGCTCTCCCTTGAGAAAGATACCCCCACCCCGAGCGGGTCAGACCAGACCTCTTCAATAATAACCCCACAGACGAGCAACCCCAAGCGGAAAGTCAACTTCCCAGCACAGAGTATTACTCCCTCATTGAAGTGAAGGATAAATTCACCCAGCTAGAGGTAAGGCAGGTGGAGCTGGAACAGCAGGTGAACACACTCCAGTCAGCACAGACCCAGACAACAGTCCAGCACAACAACACCCCCTTAACTAGACCTGGAGAGCTGGAGGTGGAGAGAGACATGTCTGCACTCTGGACTGTGGTGAGACAACATCAACAGGAGAAAGAGCAGGAGCAGGAGAAGAACAGAGCACTAGAGGAGAGGATCAGAGTGCTGGAGGAAAAGGTGAGAATGATGACGGGTGACAGAGAACAACCCGTTATAGAGAGCTGGCCATGTCCGCAGAGAAGCCAGCAGAACAGCCGACCTCAGATCCTGACCAGAGTCTCGACACCGCAGCAGAACAGTACACCCTAAACCCTGACCATAACCTCGACATCACAGCCGGAGAAACAAATGAAGAAACCCAAGCCCAGGGGATCCCAACCCCTCTGAGCACCCCCCATATCAGCCACCCTGATAGCCCTCCTGATGACCCCCCCACACCCACTGAGGACATACACAAGCCACAGATTGTACTCCTTATGGACTCAAATGGGAAATACATACAAGAAAATAAACATTTTCCCAAACACACAGTGTCTAAACTCTGGTGTCCAAACACCCATCGCGCCCTAGACCTTCTGTCTGAGGACCAACTAGGATCACCCAGCCACATAATAATACACACAGGAACAAACAACCTGAGAACACAGCATGAAAGAGTGGCCACAGCACTCAAGAGAGTGATAGAAAAAGCTTCTTCTACTTTCCCCAACGCACAAGTGGTTATCTCAACCCTGCTACTACAAAAAGACTTCCACCCTGCTACCATACAGCAGGTAAACGCAAGTATTTCCTGTGACTGTGCCTCAAAACCAAATGTCTACCTGGCCCACCACTCCACCCTGGACTTGAACAGCCTTTATGACCAGGTCCACCATACAAGGCAGCAGTGCCCACCTTCGCCCGAACCCTAAAGGATATCGCCCCTCAACCGCAGACCCAACACCTCACACAGGAGCAACAGATCAACAGACACCCGCCCAGACCAGCGAGACACTCTCCCACACCTGCGGGTCACAACTCCTGCAGCTCTGTCGCACGCTGGGTATGTACATAGTCAATGGTAGGCTTTAAGGGGACTCCTATGGTAGGTACACCTATAGCTCATCTCTTGGCAGTAGTACTGTAGACTACTTTATCACTGACCTCAACCCAGAGTCTCTCAGAGCGTTCACAGTCAGCCCACTGACACCCCTATCAGACCACAGCAAAATCAGTCTACTTGAACAGAGCAATACTCAATCATGAGGCATCAAAGCCAAAGGAACTGAATAATATTAAGAAATGCTATAGATGGATGGAAAGTAGTGTCGAAACCTACCAAAAAACTATTAGGCAACAACAAATTAAATCCCTTTTAGACAACTTCCTGGACAAAACGTTCCACTGTAATAGTGAAGGTTTAAACTTGGCAGTAGAAAAACTAAACAGTATATTTGACCTCTCAGCTTCCCTTTCAAATCTAAAAATCTCTAAAACACTAAACAAACAACAACACGAATAGCTATCTATCCAAAACAGAGATGTATAGATAAACCCCTTCTACAATCTTTTTCGCCCTATAACAAAGAACAAACAGCAAAAAAAAGATTAATGATCAAATGCAAATCTTAGAATCAACTATTAAAGACTACCAGAACCCACTGGATTCTCCAATTGCATTGAATGAACTACAGGACAAAATACAAACCCTCCAACCCAAAAAGGCCTGTGGTGTTGATGGTATCCTCAATGAAATGATAAAATATACAGACCACAAATTTCAATTAGCTATACTTAAACTCTTTAACATCATCCTTCGCTCTGGCATCTTCCCCAATATTTGGAACCAAGGACTGATAACCCCAATCCACAAAAGTGGAGACAAATTTGACCCCAATAACTACTGTGGGATATGCGTCAACAGCAACCTTGGGACAATCCTCTGCATTATCATTAACAGCAGACTAGTTCATTTCATCAGTGAAAACAATGTACTGAGCAAATGTCAAATTGGCTTTTTACCAAATTACCGTACGACAGACCAAGTATTCATCCTGCACACCCTTATTGACAAACAAACAAACCAAAACAAAGGCGAAGTCTTCTCATGCTTTGTTGATTTCAAAAAAGCTTTTGACTCAATTTGGCATGAGGGTCTGCTATACAAATTGATGGAAAGTCGGGTTGGGGGAAAAACATACGACATTATAAAATCCATGTTCACAAACAACAAGTGTGCGGTTACAATGGGCAAACACACACACATTTCTTTCCACAGGGCCATGGGTTGAGACAGGGATGCAATTTAAGCCCCACCCTCTTCAACATATTTATCAATGAATTGGCGAGGGCACTAGAACAGTCTGCAGCAACCGGCCTCACCCTACTAGAATCTGCAGTCAAATGTCTAATGTTTGCTGATGATCTGGTGCTTCTGTCACCAACCAAGGAGGGCCTGCAGCAGCACCTAGATCTTCTGCACAGATTCTGTCAGACCTGGGCCCTGACAGTAAATCTCAGTAAGACAAAAATAATGGTGTTCCAAAAACAAATACAAATTCCATCTAGACACCGTTGCCCTAGAGCACACAAAAAACTATACATACCTCGGCCTAAACATCAGCGCCACAGGTAACTTCCACTAAGCTGTGAACGATCTGAGAGACAAGGCAAGAAGGGCCTTCTATGCCATCAAAAGGAACATAAAATTCGACATACCAATTAGGATCTGGCTAAAAAATAATTGAATCAGTTATAGAACCCATTGCCCTTAATGGTTGTGAGGTCTGGGGTCCGCTCACAAACCAAGAATTCACAAAATGGGACAAACACCAAATTAAGACTCTACATGCAGAATTCTGCAAAAATATCCTCTGTGTACAACGAAAAACACCAAATAATGCACACAGAGCAGAATTAGGCCGATAACCGCTAATGATAAAATCCAGAAAAGAGCCATTAAATTCTATAACCACTTAAAAGGAAGTGATTCCCAAACCTTCCATAACAAAGCCATCACCTACATAGAGATGAACTCGGAGAAGAGTCCCCTTAGCAAGCTGGTCCTGGGGCTCTGTTCACAAACACAAACATACCCCACAGAGCCCCAGGACAACAACACAATTAGACCCAACCAAATCATGAGAAAACAAAAAGAGAATTACTTGACACATTGGAAAGAATTAACAAAAAAACTGAGCAAACTAGAATGCTATTTGTCCCTAAACAGAGAGTACACAGAGGCAGAATACCTGACCACTGTGACAGACCCAAATTTAAGGAAATATTTGACTATGTACAGACTCAGTGTGCATAGCCTTGCTATTGAGAAAGGCAGCCGTAGGCAGACCTGGCTCTCAAGAGAAGACAGGCTATGTGCACACTGCCCACAAAATGAGGTGGAAACTGAGCCTCACTTCCTAACCTCCTGCCAAATGTATGACCAAATTAGAGACACATATTTCCCTCAGATTACACAGATCCACAAAGAATTCGAAAACAAACCCAATTTTGATCAACTCCCTTATCTACTGGGTGAAATAACACATCACAGCAGCAAGATTTGTGACCTGTTGCCACAAGAAAAGGGCAACCAGTGAAGAACAAACACCATTGTAAATACAACCCATATTTATGTTTATTTATTTTCCCTTTAACTATTTGCACATCGTTACAACACTGTATATATACATAATATGACATTTGAAATGTCTTTATTCTTTTGGAACTTCTGAGTGTAATGTTTACTGTTAATATTTATTGTTTATTTCACTTAGTTTACTATCTACTTCATTTGCTTTGGCAATGTTAACATACGTTTCCCATGCCAATAAAGCCCTTAAATTGAAATTGAATTGACATTGAGAGAGAAGCAGACAGCAGAAATCTCTCCACAGGTATCCCTTTGCCCTCTCTTTCTCCCTCTCTTCTCTCTCCTATTTCCTAAAGGGCCTGAACACATTCCTCCTCTCCCACAGTGTTCAGTGGTTCAGTAATGACGCATGGTCACTGCTTTGTTTTGGTTTTGGACCAAGCAGCCAGCCGGCCAAACTCAAACCTGCTGTGTTGACGACCCTTGTGTCGATATCTGTCCAACTGTTCCTGGTTGATGAGTTGTGGCTTGTGAATAATGCTTCATTTGGTATGTGTTTGTAGAAAAGGTTTAGTTTGTAATTAAAAGTATTAGTGATTGCCATCCTATATGTAATTACCCTCAGACTAGCAGACAGACACAGGACTGTATGAACAGAGAATAGCTTTTTTTCTCCCAGTAGACTTAAGTAGACCAGCTGCTGCAGCTATGTTATGGTTCCATGATGACATCACAGCATTACCTAGCTGTCTAAAATGTAAATGTCAACATCCTCACACACACAGCCAGGCCAGCTAAACACACCACCCAGTAAAATGTCTACTCTCTCTTGGTCTACTCACCTGTTCCACTAACATCCTATTGGTGGGTGAGGATGCTCCTCAAGTACTGTCAACCAATGAGGTTATACTACAGAGTCAGTGAGAACTTAAGCTTAAAGAAGGGGGACGATCTTCCATGAAGATACATGGATGTCTGAAGGTAAAAACAAGGAAGCTCCCGACGATCCGTGTGGCGTGTCTGCGGCACCATGAATCATGCCATTTTATCACAAGACAAATACAGATATCTTGTCATTTTGATTCATAATTTCATCTCCATGCAGCACAACCAAATAAAATATATCTCAGTGGTTCCAGATTTGGCCAATTCAGCCTTTTTTGTGTAACCTAATTCTAACAGTCCTGAATGGCTTTGGAAAGAACTAGTAGGCTAATGGCTTTGCTCCATGCAGTGGATAATGTAATAGTGTGCACATGAAACGTCAGTTCCATTGTTACAACTGGGCCCAGTCATAAATTCTCTTTCCTTGTTTATGGAAATGTGTTTCTGACTATCCCTTCTTCTGTATTTTGCACAAATTGATATTTTAATCTTCTTATAATCAAGGGCCTGGGTATGCAGGAAATCTAAAAAATCTACTTATTTGAAAGATGTTATAATGTATTTAATCAGATATCTAAATAATGCAATAATTTATCTAAACATCATATTATATCACAGGTGGACTTAGTCCAGGTCATGAGACTGTAGTTGGTTCTGCCAAGAAAACACTGTTAGACCTCTAAGTGTATATCACAGTAACTCTCTCCCTCATCACTAAATTACAGTAGTGTTAGCCACACATATACACACACACACACACACACACGCAAACACGCACATGCACCACGTGGTTACTGAAAACCCTGAATCAGCCAAACACCACACGGTTACTCACAACTCCATACAGCGGGGAGTCTTTCCACTTTTCCACTACGAAACAAACATGTAAAACGTTTTAACTTTTTAATGGCACAGTTAAAGTAAATACTCTCACTCACAAGAAAACTGTATCCATATGTCATCATGCTTCTTAGCAAATTGGTCTTCGGGATGATAGGTTGATAATAAAGACTACACTACTCTACTCTAGGGAGAAAACAAAGGGTCTAGACGTCAACAGTCTCAACCGAGACATGTTGTTGACAGATAGCTGTGTCGTTTCTAAATGCAAAGCAAATGTTAGTTTTCCTATCTGTATGGTCTGCTTTGGCCTCACTGCAACAGAGGGAAATGGAGAGAGTAGAGAAGATGGCGAGAGAGAGGGGGATGGGGAAGAGGGATGTCGAGAGGACAGTAAGGAGAGAATGGTTGTAAAAAATAGTTTCTTATAACTGACAAGAACTTTTGAACATCAGATCAGCATATCTACTTGCCTCAATTCCAGCTTCAACTTCGACTCATATGCTCTGGGCTCTTTCTGTAATTCTGACCCAATTTTCGGGGTATCCAAGAGGAAACACTGGCATTACACAATCTCAATTGCACTCCACACTGCCCTCACCCACCTAGATGACTATAGCTCAGTGTTTAACACCATTGTCCCCTCCAAGGTCGTCACCAAGCCTACTACCCTGGGACTGAACACCACCCTCTGCAAACTAGATCCTGGACTTCCTGATAGGCCGCCCCCAGGTGGTGAGGTTAGGCAACATCACCTCCGCCATGCTGACCCTCAACACGGGGGCCCCACAGGGGTGTGTGCTTAGTCCCCTCCTTTACTCCCTGTTCACCCACGACTGCGTGGCCACACACAACTCCAACACCATCATCAAGTTTGCTGATGACACGGCGGTGGTAGGCCTGATCACCGGCAACAATGAGTACGTCCCCATCCACAATAATGGGGCTGCAGTGGAGTGGGTTGAGAGCGTCAAGTTCCTCGGTGTCCAAATCACTAAGGACTTAAAATGGTCCACACACACGCGCACAGTCGTGAAGAAAGCACAACAGCGCCTCTTCACCCTCAGGAGGTTGAAAAGGTTTGGCATGGGCCCTCAAATCCTCAAAATGTTATACAGCGGCACTCACTATTGAGAGCATCTTGACTGGCTGCATCACTGCTTGGTATGGCAACAGAACCGCCCTCAATCGCATGGCGCTACAGAGGGTGGTGCGGACAGCCCAGTACGTCACTTTTATACTGACTCTGTACCCACCCACGCATACACACTCACATACAAGCATCATATACGGTGCTGCTACTCTGTCCATCATATATCTTGATACCTAGTCCCCTTACCCCTATACATATCTGCCTCTATCACTCCAGTATCCATGCACATTGTAATATGGTACTGGAACTGACCCTGTATATAGCCTTTTACTTTCTTGTGTTCTTCTTATTTCTTATTTTTATTTATTGTGTGTTTTTGTTCTACCTTGTGTTATTTTTAGTACTCCATTGATATTGATTACTGCATTGTTGGATTTAGAGCTGGCAAGAAAGGCATTTCACTGTACTTGTGCACGTGACATTACAACTTGAAACTTGAACCCAGCAGTGTGTCTGTACAGATGTAGGATCTTAATTTGAGCTAGCTTGCTACAGAAGGAAATAATCCTGCAGCAACAGGAAATGTAAATTATTATGTGGATTATAATTAATGAAAATTTTTGTAGGGGTTGATACATCTTTTGTTAGGGTAAATCAAGTCTGAAATGTCAAAGTGGAAATGACAAACTTTAGAAAACCTTTAAAAACTCAAGTACACTGCAAGTTTGCATTTCCTGCTGAGCAGGAAAATGCTCTGCAACAAAAGAGTGATGAAATTAAGATCCTACATCTGTAGCTCATTACTGTCCCTGGTGCAGTGTGTGACACATGCAGCTGAGAGCTCTACTAGACAATGGTCGTCTCTGTCAATACCTCAAGGTCAAGGTCTCCACTCATGTTAGTGAACATGCTCTACCTCAAGGTCAAGGTCTCCACACATGTTAGTGAACATGCTCTAACAAGGGAAAACTGGGCCAAGTGTTTGGTAAGTTTGTCCCCAAGATGTTGTAACAGGGATGGCATGTTGATGGACCGCCATGAATATACAGTAAAGGAGAGAATGAGGACAATAAAAGGATAAAGGACGAAGAAGAAGAAGAAGAAGAAGAAACAAGAAGAGATAAGAAGAAGACGCATAATAAGAAGAAGAGAATCCTCACGAATAAGAAAAACATAGAGAAGAAACATAAGAATAAGCAGAACGAATAGAAAGCAAAGAATAAGAAGAAGAATAAGAAGAAGTGCACTCCCCTCCTCCTCCTCCTACCTCCTCCTCCTCCCCCTACCTCCTCCTCCTCCTCCCTCCTCCTAATAACTACAAGGAGTCCCCTCTTCCACTCCTCCCTCCTCTATGGTTTCTTCTTCTTTGGTTTGATCTCCTCCACCTCCATGCCAGGGTCGTCCATCATAACCTCCTCTCTCTCTTCCTCCCCCTCTCTGCCATGCTTCACGGGTCCAGCCTGTCTCACCTCTGTCTGGACACCTGCGGTATCCTGTCCCTCTACACCTCCAGCCCAGCCTAGAACGCAACAACACAGGGCCAGAGACACCCACAAACCCAACACTGCCCCCCTCATCGTCTTACTACACTCAGAAGCAGGACCAGACTAAACCAGCCTAGGGCTTAAACCAGACTTGACCAGACTTTACCAAGACCAGCACTGGCAGTGCAACCTGACCACAGCTCTAGAAAGGTAAGAGAAGCTTCCTCGGTTACTCTGCCTGCACCAACAAAACAAAGAAAAGGTTGCAGACCAAATGGCCCAACTCCTGTTTCAGTGAAGCACAAAAAGCCCCAGGCCAACCACAGTCTCTCACACAGACCAGTCAGAACAGTCAGCTAACAGATGACCTGCATGTGCTAAACGAGCAACGATATAGAACATCCAACAACAGTCCTCAGGTGTAGAAGAAGTCTCAGCCGGAGTCAGTCTGTCTTGAAGAGTCTCTGAGAGCTTGAAGAGATGAGTTCTGGTTGGTTCCTTCCAGAAAAAAACGTTTGTATAAAACTTTGGTGTGTAGAAAGCTTTGGTTTGTAGAAAGCTGTGGTGAAAGGTTTGGTGTGCAGATGTATACAGAGCGTAGTCCTGTTTGGTGGTGGAGCAGGAGAGAGCTGTGGGCTCAGGGTTTTAAAGCAGCCTCCTGGCAGAGAACAAAGAAAGGAAACACAGACGCATGCAGGAGTCTGGAGTCTCAGCAGCAGTAACACAGCACACCTCCTGGCTCCCGTCTGTTCCTCTCTCTCTCACTCCTCCGCAGGCATTTTTCTCCTATCTCCTCTCTCCTCCTCTCACTCTACCCCCCTCTCCCTCTCTCCACTCAAAATAGGGGAGGGGTCTTCCACATGTCACATTGCAGGGGAGGAGAGAGAGAGAGACAGAGAGAGAAATAAAGAGAGTAGACAGAGAGAGAAAGAGAGAAAGAGAGAGACCGAGAGACAGAGAGAGAGAGATCGAGATACGAGAGAGAGAGAGAGAGATAGAGAGAGAGAAGATAGAGAGAGAGATAGAGATAGAGATAGAGAGAGAGAGCGATTATGATCGTCTCATATCATTCTATCTATATCTCCCCTGAGAAATAGCTAGTAGACATGATCCAACGAGAGCAGATATAGATATCATATAGAGGATATTAATTCGAGATCTATGATATATATTAGCATGCGGAGATTCCTCCCAGCCTCTGCCATTCCCTAGCTCTAGAGATCATCTACTGTGGGAAATATTTAGAAACATTTACATTCAGCCGAATTGACATATTACTTTCCTGAGTAAATACTATACTCTTGCCACGGAAAGACAATGAGTCAGTCTACTGAATCCATCCAGGATCCATTTTTCAGTGAGTTCAGAAAAAAATGAAAATTATTTATTGGAGAGGAAAACTCATTCCATGTTTAAGAATGCACCAAAATCATGTGGTTGGGAATAAGTGTTTTAGCAGACCTGGTAAAAGACACACACGCACAAACGCACACACATACACACATGCACACACACACGCACACACACACTCCCACACACACTCACCCAAACAACCCAGCTCAGCTCCACATACCTCCAGGTCATACAGGAGAGTCAGGACCTGTCCCTGTCTCCTACTCTGCTCTCAAGCGGAAAACAGGAGATAAAGAGAAAAAAAAGAGAGATAAAGTGTGGAAAGAAGAGTGTGAGCTGGAAGTGAATTTGCAAAAAGACATGAAGTTACACTGGTTACCAACGGTGGGTCAGGACCTAGTGGTGGGTTGCATCTGATTCCTTGTGAGGTCTTTGCTTATTTTTTTTATTTTTTTTTATTTAACCTTTATTTAACTAGGCAAGTCAGTTAAGAACAAATTCTTATTTACAATACCCCGGCCAAACCCAGACGCGCTGGGCCAATTGTATGCCGCGCTATGGGACTCCCAATCACGGCCGGATTGTGATACAGCCTGGAATCAAACCAGGGTCTGTAGTGACACCTCTAGCACTGAGATGCAGTGCCTTAGACTGCTGCACCACTCGGGAGCCCTGGAGCCCTGGCTTAAGACTGGGTTCAGGCTAGAAACATTGAATGAGAAAGGACCCAGAGCTTTAAGTTGATCCCTGTGATAAAAGATGACAATAAACAGTAATAACACAGTAATGTGTTTATTACTGTTCATTCCTCAGATACTTTATCTTCTAATTAACAGATGAAGTATGCCCCCTACAGGAATCACACCTACAACTCATGCTGGGGACTACTGAGTCTGGTAGCCACTGAGTTACAGAGTTATTTCTCCTATGAGAGTTATGACAGTCAGATGTGCTGTGATATATAAGCGCTCTATTTCTACACCAGATGTGCTGGGATATCTACTTTCTCTATTTCTAGTCTGGAGCAGTGAGTCAGACTGCAGTGTTGGCAGGAGGATGTTCATTTGTGTTTGATCATCTTTACTTCATCAAGGCCATGCATCAAAGAACACACATCTGATCTGATGTACAAAGAAAGAGAAGATAGAAAGCTGCTATTCATAGATCAACAGAAGTCAGTGAACATTAATGCTATAAATTCTGGAAGGCAATCCAGCAGTCTATGTACTTAGCTCTACATGCCTTATTATCAATTGTTGTAAATATGATCATGTATGAAAGTTACACATGTGCATTCCTGTATAGTTTTTGGAAGGTATGTTTATGTCAAAGGATGGAAAAACCTCCTTAATTACTGTAGCATGTGACCAGTCACCCAGGCCGATCAGTCATACTGTAGTCTGTACTGCATCATCTGCTTCTGTCTCGTCCATAGCCGCGGGAAGTAGGGGTGCTGAGGGTGCTGCAGCACTCCCTGAAAAATCAGAAAGATTATATATACACACTACCATTCAAAAGTTTTGGGTCAATTAGAAATGTCCTTGTTTTGAAAGAAAAGCAAATGTTTTGTCCATTAAAATAACATCAAATTGATCAGAAATACAGTGTAGACATTGTTAATGTTGTAAATGGCTATTGTAGCTGGAAACAGCTGATTTTTTATGGAATATCTACATAGGCGTACAGAGGCCCATTATCAGCAACCATCAGTCCTGTGTTCAAATGGCACGTTGTGTTTGCTAATACAAGTTTATCATTTTAAAAGGCTAATTGATCATTAGAACACCCTTTTGCAATTATGTTAGCACAGCTGAAAACTGTTATGCTGATTGAAGAAGCAATAAAACTGGCCTTCTTGAGACTAGTTGAGTATCTGGAGCATCAGCAATTGTGGGTTCGATTACAGGCTCAAAATGGCCAGAAACAAATAACTTTCTTTTGAAACTCGTCAGTCTATTCTTGTTCTGAGAAATGAAGGCTATTCCATGCGAGAAATTGCCAAGAAAGTGAAGATCTCCTACAATGCTTTGTACTGCTCCCTTCACAGATCAGCGCAAACTGGCTCTAACCAGAATAGAAAGAGGAGTGGGAGGCCCTGGTGCACAACTGAGCAAGAGGACAAATACATTAGTGTCTAGTTTGAGAAACAGATGCCTCACAGGTCCTCAACTGGCAGCTTCATTAAATAGTACCCCCAAAACACCAGTCTCAACGTCAACAGTGAAGAGGCGACTCCGGGATGCTGACCCTCTAGGCAGAGTTGCAAAGAAAATGCCATATCTCAGACTGGCCAATAAAAAGAAAAGATTAAGATGGGCAAAAGAACACAGACACTGGACAGAGGAAGATTGGAAAAAAAGTGTTATGGACAGACGAATCTAAGTTTGAGGTGTTCGGATCACAAAGAAGAACATTTGTGAGACACAGACCAAATGAAAAGATGCTGGAGGAGTGCTTGATGCTATCTGTCAAGCATGGTGGAGGCAATGTGATGATCTGGGGGTGCTTTGGTGGTGGTAAAGTGGGAGATTTGTACAGGGTAAATGGGATCTTGAAGAAGGACGGCTATCACTCCATTTTGCAACGCCATGCCATACCCTGTGGACGGCGCTTGATTGGAGTCAATTTCCTCCTACAACAGGACAATGACCCAAAGCACAGCTCCAAACTATGCAATAACTATTTAGGGAAAAAGCAGTCAGCTGGTATTCTGTCTATAATGGAGTGGCCAGCACAGTCACCGGATCTCAACCCTATTGAGCTGTTGTGGGAGCAGCTTGACCGTATGGTACGTAAGAAGTGCCCATCAAGCCAATCCAACTTGTGGGAGGTGCTTCAGGAAGCATGGGGTGAAATCACTTCAGATTACCTCTTTCGCAACAAAGCCTCCTCATGCTGCCAAACATGCCCTCGTAAAACTGACTAAATAGCCTCCAACACTCTACTCAGCAAATTGGATGTAGTCTATCACAGTGCCATCCGTTTTGTCTCCAAAGCCCCTACACTACCCACCACTGTGACCTGTACGCTCTTGTTGGCTGGTCCTCACTACATGTTCGTCGTCAAACCCACTGGCTCCAGGCCATCTATAAATCACTGCTAGGCAAATCCCTGCCTTATCTTAGCTCATTGGTCACCATAGCAGCACCCACCCGTAGTCTGCGCTCCAGCAGGTATATCTCACTGGTCATTCCCAAAGCCAACACCTCCTTTGGCCGCCATTCCTTCCAGTTCTCTGCTGCCAATGACTGGAACAAATTGCAAAAATCTCTGAAGCTGGAGACTCTTATCTCCCTCACTAACTTTAAGCATCAGTTGTCAGAGCACCTTACCGATCACTGCACATGTACACAGCCCATCTGAAATTAGCCCACCCAACTACCTCATCCCTATATTGTTATTTATTTTGCTCTTTTGCACCCCAGTATCTCTATTTGCACATAATCTCTTGCACATCTAGCATTCCAGTGTTAATACTAATTGTAATTATTTTGCACTATAGCCTATTTATTGCCTTACCTCCATAACTTGCTACATTTGCACACACTGTATATATATTTTCTGTTGTATTTTTTGACTTTATGTTTTTTTACCCCATATGTAACTCTGTGTTGTTGTTTTTATCGCACTGCTTCGCTTTATCTTGGCCAGGTCGCAGTTGTAAATGAGAACGTGTTCTCAACTGGCTTACCTGGTTAAATAAAGGTTAAATAAAAAATTAATAAAAAACCTCAACAAATTGACAACTAGAATGCCAAAGGTCTGCAAGGCTGTAAATGCTGCAAATTGAGGATTATTTGACGAAAGCAAAGTTTGAAGGACACAATTATTATTTCAATTAAAAATCATTATTTCTAATCTTGTCAATGACTACATTTCCTTTTCATTTTGCTATATTTCCTATTCAAACTCATTTCATGTATGTTTTCATGGAAAACAAGGACATTTCTAAGTGACCCCAAACTTTTGAACAGTAGTGTGTATTTTTAAAGATTGCTGTCAGTGAATGTGATAGAGAGAATAAGGGTGATAGAGTGATAGATTTCAGGGGCGTCATGCTCCACAAAAAACTAAGGGGGCATAAAGTACTGTATGTGAGGATGGCTGGGGGGTGGTTGGAGTATTTTGCATTTTTCAAACACCTGAAACAGCCTTTTCCTGCAATCTTGTGCCATAATCATTGTCTAATTCTCTGGTTTAAAAAAATAAAAGTATATCTAAGCATATCTTGAGCTGTCTGTATCCTCCTGACTGGAGGTTCTTTTTTTAAAGAAAAAAATATGCTTCTCTGTATGGCTGCTAAAATCTGGGTAAAAGATTGGAAGGAATGTGCGTCTTATTCAGTACATTTAGTTATTGCTTGCTTTTCTAAAGTCTACCAACCTTGCCAGCAGGCATGCCAGCTAAGATAGTTAGACAAGCTAGCTACTCTAACTTGATTGATAGCCTGAAATGGCTTCTTGGTAGCTAGTTATGAGGTTGGGAGCTTGGGAACCTATCTGGGCTAGCTAGCTAAAGACAACTTCATAAAATTGCTAGGGGGCTAGTAGTATTACAGAGAAACAACAACAACAACAACAACAAAAAATACAAAAAAATATATAGCTGTATATATTTTTTAAACAGGACAAATCTGAGGGGGCACGTGTCGCCGTGCCCCATATGGGCATGACGCCTCTGATAGAGTGATTTTGTGTTTGTGTGCGTGCGTGTGCGTATGCATTTCTCTGTGTGTGTGTGTGTGTGTGTGTGTGTGTGTGTGTGTGTGTGTGTGTCTGTGTGTCCTTGTGTGTGTGTGTGATGGACTCTATTGGACTTAGTCTCATATTAGTTAATCAGTGACTGAGATCATTACATGGAGAGAACCAGTGAACCCACCCTCCATTGTTAAAGACAGAGTCAGTGTTGACGCTCTGCCCGACTGCTGGGTCCAATTATCAAAGGAAGCAGGACTAAATTTAACTCAATGATGAGGACCTTCCAATACCCACAGAGGAACATCTAATGCCCACAGATCTCAACACAACCAATAAAAACATGCCCACTGAAATCAATCCAGAGATCAAATATCCTATCATAACCGATGTTGATGTTGTTCTTTAATTCTGGAAGAAAATAAGTTCAAAGATTCTTAAATTCAATTGAAGTTGAAGTTTGTGTTTTCTCTCTTTTCTACTCAACATTGTGTTTTGTATAATGTTGTGCATTTTTCTGTGGTGGCACCATCTGGTTCTAATAGAGTGGTGGTGGAGGTGGTGCCTGGTGACCACCGAACAGTTCTGCTCCCCTGTAAGACCTCTAGAACAAAACACCCTGCTTTAGTTCAAATGGATGTGCAGTGCTGTTAGTGGACAGAGATTATTAAGTTAAAGATTTTCCATGTAAAGAGCATAAGTGGTAACGGAGATAGATGGTTGTTGTGTTAGGCTTACGTGTCTTTTTGTAGAGTAAAGCGCGTCAGCTAAGGTACTACGCCGCGTACAGATCCTACTGTGCAGTCAACGAACACGGTGGAGGGCCTCTAATAACTGATGGCCCTCTGACATCTGAGGCTAACACAAAGCATATGGTTGATTGCAAACAGATGTGCTTCGGCTGGACGAATCCAGTGTGTGTGTGTGTGTGTGTGTGTGTGTGTGTGTGTGTGTGTGTGTGTGTGCGCTCCAGCTGGTCTGATTGTATGCTTTTCTCATCATCCTCTATGAGTGCTGCAGTTTTTCATCTCAGAGACCAGGACATTTCTAGAAGGATTGGCGGCTATTACTATCATATCCACTCCACATATGTCTGTCTGTGTCTCCTCTGTGTGTGTGTGTGTGTTTGCTTGTGTTTGTGTGTCTTTTCTTCGTAATAAATAATGCAAGGTTGATTTCCTTTTTACTTCTTTAATTGGGAAGAAGAACACTGCTGGTACAGTACAAAAATATTTAATCTTCGTGTATGGACATTATATCCAAGAAAATAAGCCTATCATTCAACATTTCACAGCAATAATCCTTTGGCATATGGGATAGATTGGCATAGTTTTCCACTGGCTTTTAAACAGCACATAAATAGTAACTCATTATAAATACCTATATAAATTTACAGTGGCCTATTACATTGCACAAATACCTTTATGACATAGCAGGTTATAGTGTCTAAACTGTGAGCTCAATCTGATTGAAACCGCAACCATATGTCTTGCAAATGGTAAGCTAAAAATGTTCTCATCTAATATGGATGATGGTGGTATTGTGGAGTGAGGAAGGTTGGTGGTGTGAACAGTTGAATCTGTGGTCCCTGGTGAAAATGCATTTTGTTGTATAGTGGTATGGTTGTAGGATAGACAGGAGGAGGTGAGGGGTATCTGACCCCACACTGGAGCTGCTCTTCAGGCACCCCTTTCCCCTCACACTCTGTCTTCCACTTGGTGCGTCGGTTCTGGAACCAGATCTTCACCTGGGTCTCTGTGAGACGGAGCATCAAGGCGATGGCATAGCGCTCGAATACAGACAGGTAGTGGCTGCTGTGGAAACTATGTTCTAGGATGTGTAGTTGATCCAAGGTGAACGCTGTCCGAACCCGCCGTGACTTGCCCTTTGAACTCTCCAGGCTACGGCACGCAAATGCAGGGTGAGCCTCGCTCGCTTTACTTTCCGCCAACACAGCTGAGTCCACTGTGGTGGAGCAGTTACTGGCTGCTGGACCACTTTGGAATTCTAATCTCTTGGAATGGCTTTCTGGAATGGCTGCCCCACCTGAATATTGTCAATAGTGAGTTTAGAGAGGGACCTCAACCATTCTAAATAGCAGTTATGATGATATGAGTTAAATGCTGATGAAGAATAATGATGAGAAGAAATAAACCTTTTCATAAAAGATAATGGTTGAGGGCAGGCCAAAAATAAATAACCCAACACTGCCTTCTACTGGGAAATAACTAATACTACTGTATCTACTGTAGTAGGGGATTAGGCTACTCCTATAAACTAAACTTATGCATTAACCCTATATCTCAACCTAAGGATAATATGTATTTATAAAATATGACTAGCAAGTAATTGGCTTTTAAGCCTTTTAAGCTTTCAAAATAAATAGATAGAAGAACTGAGATCTCTCACCTGTTGTCCCTCTTGCAGCGTCACTCTCAGCAGTTGAACCATGGCTCGGATGGGTACTGCTTGGACTCCCGGTGAATTTAGACGGATCCAGGATGTCTGCTACAGAGAAAGAGGTTTTGCTGACCTGTGGCAACTTTTCTAGCTGCATTTTAATTTTCTGTTGTGTAAATTTGGACGAAAAGTCGCGCGTTGTTCAATGATCGGTGGCAGAGAACTCGAGTACCACTGCGCGCTTACAGTGTGTCCACCTTGCATCCCCGTGATCTGATTAATGTATTCCATCAATTTATACAGGTCAAGCACACGCCGCTCACGCGCATAAAATTAACATTTCCAGAAGAGCAAAGGTCCACAATGACAAGTGCACCGCTGCGCGCTGCAAGAAAAAACACGTGCTCCTTCCTGTGTGCGTAATTTAGCGCGCGCCACACACACACACAAACACTACACTGGCGGAGTGCTTGGAAGAAGGAACCCCCGCGCGGGCACTTTAAAATGCTAATGCACGCGTTAAACTGGCTCTGATATTTATTGTTGGGCATCTGGTTAAAATGTGCCGTTTTCTTTACAACCGTGTTCCTTTTTTGTCGTTTGGCTTGTCATTATTTGCAATTGTGTGATTTTATGCTGGTAGGACAAGTGAACGCCGGTTGTCATTCTAATTAATCGACTCCTCTCAGAGTGAAAGTGATGCTTCTTCACTTGTGCCCGAATATCAATAGAGGCATTTGTGTTTTTATTGAATGTGGTTAAAGTGTATAGCTTTGTAGTGTATAATCACACAAAGCACTTAGCTATGATTAGACGGCCAAACAATTACAACTAACACGATTATGAGTGCAATAGCCCATCTGTCTGTTAAACAGTATGAAACTTAAGACCTAACTAAAGCATTTTGTGCCTATTAGTTAACTTGGAGCTTATTTTCCCGTAGTCATTTGTGCTGTTGTAGCCTACTGTTAGAACGCCTCGTTTCAGAATCCCTTGATAATGGTTCTCCAAATGTTCTTCATTGGTGTATTAGTTTCTCTCCACTGTTTCCAAATACAACTGCTAGGCTCAAAGTGGGAACCTATTACTATCCTATTGTGGACTGTTGTAGGCTACATTTCAAACCAATCCACATACTTTTATATAAAATCTCTTAGTATCTTTCATCTCTCAAACAAACAGAGATGGAAGCAACATCAACCACAGAGCATAATATGACCACAGAGAGATCCACTGGGAAGTTTGTATAATAAAGCCCACTGATAAATGCACATTGAATAAGTGGGTTGTTCCACTAAATGAGTGCCTTTTGCGTCCCTTTGATATTTCAAGTAGAGATTGTGCACCAATTGAATTTTAAAAGCCTGTTATATTAAATTAAGAGAACTTTAATATACCCCCTAGAGTCGATTGACACACTGGTGCGTCACTAAATTACATAACAAAAAAAGCGCATCAAAATCCATCAATTTCAGCTAGAGATATCTGTTTTAAAAGCCTGTTATATTAAATTAAGATAACTTTAATATACCCCCTAGAGTCGATTGAAAACACTGGTGCGTCACTCTAAGTTACATAACAAAAAAATCGCATCAAAATCCATCAATTTCAGCTAGAGATATCTGTTTTTTGCATTGGATGCATCCGAACCATTTTGACTACAAACTAATGGGACCCCATTAGATTCTCACCGACATGATGGTGTTCTCCGATTTGCTCTATGACTCTATGGTTTGAAGGTAACCAGTACCAGTTTAAAAAACGAATAGAAGTATGAAGGTAGTATTGTGCCTACCCAAAAAAAGGGGTTGAATATGTGCAAAAAATATATACATATATTTCCTGAGTAAAAAAAAAAAATATCTCATTCCAGGCAGCGCGCAGCTTTCGGACAGGCCAAACGACTACTTCGGGACCATCCAGGTGTGAAGTACGGACTGCGATTCCCGGCCCGTTTATGGCTATCTCATGATGGTAAAGACTACACATTTGAATCTCCGGATGAGGCTCTCTCTCACATTCAACGTCACATCAAGAAGTCTTGAACTTGCTCATAGCTCAGCAACTGTTGCTAGCGAACGGTGGATAGTAAGTAACCCACCTGTGGTACAACTATGTTTAGCTACAACATGCTAATTTTGTATAGTTTGGGGGTTGGCGTACCCATTCAGGCTTATTTGATGTGATCTAATGTTTTGATCATCTAGTGTGCTTGCCTTACAAGCATTCAGTCATTTTAATCTCACTGTATTGCGGTTTTACTATACTCCTGTGTTTTCTAGGCTGTCTTGCTCACCTATTCAGTTTGTTTACATAGTGTCTCAGTGACTCAAAATATTCTTGGTTATTTGCTTACTGCATCCGTTTGCATTGACCCAGTAAACAGTAAATGCTTCCTGAGGCGACAAGTTTTTTTGGGGTCTTCACTTAAATTTTAAGGCTCAGAGCGTCATTTATGCCCAGCAAGCGTTAAACGTTGCGCACACGTAGTTTTTTGGTCTTGGTTGTAAGCTGTCTCAGCATTCAACTAGACAACTATTATAATAATAATAATTATTATCATTTTTGATTGTCTTACTACAATTTCCTTACTTCAAATTAGGTTTTCGGCTAAGAGCCATTACACATTCTATTTATTTTCTTTATTTTCTCTCTCAAATGCCTGTTATAAGACTGGGAATATAATTATATACATCTACAAGTGGTGCTTTTGTAATTTCGTCTGCACAAGGGATTCACCTTAATTTATTTTATTTAAAAAATGATTATCTCTTTTTGCTGTTTGATCCACTAACAAAACACGACTTTAAAGAGCGGGACTGTGGGTTTAGGTTTAAGACCGCACTCTCACAGACATACTGTGCGAAGAGAACATGCTCTATTTAGGCTTGTACCTCGTTTGGGGAGGTACTGTCTGGGATGGGGGGAGGGGGTGGGGGGGAGGGGTTGAATTGTTCAGTTCTAATGTTGTCATTCTGTCTTTTTTGTTTTTTTTTCGGTACTTTTTCTCAACATCTACCACCGTACATTATTACTCTGAGACAAGTTATTCTGGGGTTTCTGGGCGCTCATTGCTTTTCCATTCTATGCTCTAATGACGGGGTTGTATAACGGGAATGCCCAGAGGGGCCGAAACAATGCGATCAAATACATTTCGTGGAACACCAAAGGGGTTAATAACCCAGTGAAACGTAAGAGGGTGTTGACACACTTAAAGGGTTTGAATGCAAATGTTGCATTTCTACAAGAGACTCACTTGAGGACTGGTGAGCACTTTAGGATGCGTAGGGACTGGGTTGGTCAAGTGTTCCACTCTAACTTTCATAGTAAATCAAGAGGGGCTGCCATTTTGGTGGATAAAGTCACTCCCTTTGTAGCTTCTGAGGTTATCGCTGATCCTAAGGGACGATACGTCATAGTAACCGGTAAACTGTTTTCTACCCCTCTTGTTTTGGCTAGTGTTTATGCTCCCAATTGGGATGACACAAGTTTCATTTCTTCCTTTTTGTCTGCTATACCCAATTTAGATTCTCATTTATTGATTTTAGGGGGGGATTTCAACTGCAAAATGTCCCCAGTTCTTGACAAGTCCTCACGAACAACTACAGGCCCATCTAAATGTGCCCTACTTATTCAAGCCTTTCTTCAGAAATATGCCATGTTTGAGGCCTGGCGTTTCCTACATCCTACAGATAGACAGTATTCCTTTTATTCTCATGTTCATCAAACATACTCCCGGATTGATTACTTCTTTTTGGACAAAAAACTTTTGCCTAACCTTCGGCAGTGTACTTACAAGAGTATTGTTATTTCGGGACCATTCACCATTAGTGCTTGAACTAGAGTTTCCCCAGCGACCTCCTATGTGTTATCAATGGCGTCTTAACCCCATTTTACTCTCAGATAAGGAGTTTGTCAATTTCATTTCTTCTGAAATCACCTTATTCCTAGAAACTAATTCAACACCAGGTATGTCCTGCTCTACCATATGGGAGTCTCTCAAAGCATACCTACGTGGCCAAATTATTTCTTATACAGCCAACCAAAACAGAGTTCGTTCTCAGCGACTTCGGGACCTGAGCGAATCCATAGCCACATTGGATGAGAAGTATGCCACGGTTCCTTCCTCTGATCTGCATAAAGAGCGCCAACTGCTCCAATCTGAATTTGATGAGCTTTCTACCAGGCAAGCTGAACAGCTACTCTTGCGAGCTCGGTACAGAGTGTATGAACAAGGCGACAAGGCCAGTAAACTCCTTGCACATCAGATCCGTAAATCTGAGGCCTCACGTTTAATCCCACAAATAAGGACCCCGTCTGGTGCCACCACAGTTATACATAAAGAGATCAATGATCAATTCAAACAATTTTATTCTGCGCTATACACCTCTGAATCCCCTCAAGACCCTTTGCTGATTGATTCCTTCTTTAATGGCCTGAATATGCCTTCAATTGATACAGACACCCATGACTATCTAGAAGAAGAATTTACACCTGAGGAGATTGCAACAGCAGTGTCCGCAATGAAAAGCGGTAAATCACCGGGTCCGGATGGTTTTCCAACCGAATTTTACAGGACGTTTTCTGGTCTGCTTTGCCCATTCTTGTCTCGACTATTTGCAGAGTGCCTTAATACCTCAAAGCTACCGCCTAGTCTTTATCAAGCTTCAATTTCATTACTATTAAAGAAAAACAAAGACCCTCTGGAATGTGGATCCTTTCGCCCAATCTCGCTTTTAAACTGTGATTACAAAATCCTAGCCAAGCTTTTAGCCATCCGTATGGAAGGCTCGCTGCATCAAGTAATACACTCTGACCAGACTGGCTTTATGAGAAATAGGCATTTGTTTTTCAATATTAGGCGCCTTATGAATATACTGTACTCCCCTGCGTCGGAGGACCCAGAGGTGGTGGTCTCACTTGATGCAGAAAAAAGCGTTTGACCGCGTTGAGTGGGATTACCTAACAGCCACCCTTTATAGATTTGGCTTTGGCCCCAAATTCATTGCGTGGATAAAGATTCTTTATTTTTCCCCCATGGCTTCGGTACGGACTAACAACTTGTCCTCTGACTATTTTCCCTTGCACCGCGGATCCAGACAGGGCTGTCCACTCTCCCCCTTGTTGTTTGCTTTGGCAATCGAACCTCTCGCCATTGCATTACGCTCTAATGATGCCATTCAAGGAATAATCCGGACGGGCTCAGAGCAGAAAGTCTCGCTATATGCGGATGACCTCCTTTTGTTTATCTCTAACCCTGATACCTCAT